CAGAAACTAAAGCAACAGGTTACTGATGGTGAAGTCAGAAAGTACTGGATTGAAGATAATCTACTCTACGCCAGAGGAGGTAGATTATATGTTCCTGTTGGAGGTTTGAGATGGGAACTAATGCGGGAAATGCATGATCCTCAGTGGGCTGGACATCCAGGGGTGGATAGAATGCTGGCGTTGATATCCAGATCATATTACTGGCCCAAGATGGAGGATGACATAGAGTTATATGTCAAGACTTGCTTGGTCTGTCAGAAAGACAAGCATGAAAGGAAGAAGGAGGCAGGGCTACTGCAACCTTTGCCTATACCAGAGCGTCCATGGCAGTCAGTTTCAATGGACTTCATTTCTGGTTTTCCCAAGGTGGAAGGTATGAGATCTATTTTTGTGGTTGTAAATAGATTCTCTAAGTATGCAATTTTTATTGCTGCACCACATGCATGCCCAGCGGAAGTTGCTGTTGGTTTATTTCATAAGTTTGTGGTGAAATATTTTGGCTTGCCCGAAGATATTGTTAGTGATCGTGACACCAGATTTACGGGAAGGTTCTGGACAGTGCTATTTGGCTTGATGGGTTCTGAACTGAAGTTCTCCACAGCAAACCATCCTCAAACTGACGGACAGACTGAGAGGATGAACCAGTTATTGGAAGAATATCTGAGGCACTATGTCACTGTAAGTCAGAAAAATTGGCTGGAGTTGCTAGACACTGCACAATTCTCTTATAATTTGCACAGGTCTTCAGCAACAGGAATGAGTCCCTTTGAGTTGGCAACAGGGCAACAACCTCGCACACCACAGGAGGTGGCAGTGCAGAGGACTAGTGGAAGATGCCCTGCAGCATACCGATATGCCCGTTCCATGCAAGAGATGGTGGAAGAGGCACAGGACAGCCTTGCCAAGGCTGCGAGAAGGATGAAAAAGTATGCAGATAAAGGGAAAAGGCCATTAGAGTTCCAAGTGGGAGACAAGGTTCTGTTGAAGTTGACTCCACAGATTTAGAAGAAGATAAGTAGCAAAACTGTTCACAGAGGGCTGATTCAGAAGTATGATGGTCCATTTGAAGTTGTGAAGAAAGTTGGGAATGTTGCTTACAGATTACAGTTACCTGAGAGACTGAAGGTCCATCCTACTTTTCATGTGAGTTTCCTCAAGCCTTTTCATGAGGACACTGCAGATACATCAAGACAGCAGGCTAAGAGAGCCCCACCTGTTATTCGGTTGCAGTTTAACAAGGAGGTGGAGAAGATTTTGTCTCACCGGACCCAGGGTCAGAGTAAGAAAAATCGCAGAACTGATTACTTGGTGAAATGGAAAGGATGCAGCGAAGCAGAGGCTAATTGGGAAAGAGATGTGACATTATGGCAGTTTGAGAAACAGGTAAAGGAGTACTTGGATAAGTCGACGAGGGCGTCGACTTCTTCTGGTGGGGGTGGTTTGTTAGCCCCTTGACGGTTGTCCAAGGGAAGACATGGGCATTTCAAGGCCATGCCATGTCTTAGGAATACTTTGGCTTTGATTAGACAGTCATGAGGGTGCTCAGTGGGTTGTCAGCGTGCACAAGATGCTCAGCGTGCACACAAGATGCTTAAAAGGATGCTCGGCGTGCACTGGGGGTGCCCAGTGGCACTTTTGTAAATATGGCGAAAAGTGAAACTTGGAGTTTTGACTCGGGATCTTTATGGGAGATACCTTGAGTCCATAGAAGCTGGTTGGCGCAGACGACACTCAATTTGGATATCGGGAAAGGTCTGAAAGGCCATTATGACCCCTCAAGCATGGGTGATGTTTACTCCTGTCAGAGTGCTGGATTTCCTTAAGACTATATTAGGGGGGGTCTGTTGAGCGCATCGGTTGGGCTATGGCATGGCTTGCTTAGAGGGCTTAGCCAACGTGCATGGGCACGTGTTGCACCACTCCAAGATGGTTGCACAAGTGGGGATCATCCAAGATATTGAAGGGCAAACAAGTGTGCACCGACACGCGCGCTGGGGTGCAGCGGCGCGCATGCGGATGTGCAGGTGGGCGCGCGGGTAGGCGTCCAACCTAGTGTGCGCGAGCGTCTAGCTCGGCATGCACATGGGCGTCTAGGTGGGCGTATAGCCACGGGCGCATGAGGGTTCAAACATGGCGCGTGAAGAAGGGCACTAATGTGTGCGCCGGCGTGCACTTTGGTGTGCATCCGAGCGTGCGCACGGGCGTGCATGGCTTGGCACGCCGTGCACTCAGAGACATATGTATGTGGGTGCAGATTGGTGGACTTGGGCTAGGTTCACAAGGTTAACTCAGATGTGGCTAGAGCATGGATAACACAAAGTCATGGCTTGCGGTTACAAGAGGTGGTGACTTAGTGGGCTCGGTTGGTTGGGGGAAGTTACTAGCACTTCCCACTCATCATGGGAAGTGGGGGAGTGCTGAGTAACCTCCCAAACATGTGGCACAATTCTGAGAGGACCAACACACAGGCGGTTAAGGGTGGTTTCCTCCACTATGCAGAATCTAACTTCTTGTGGTTATGTGGCATGAGCAAAACATGCCAACAAGTCTAGCAGTTGGGCTTGTCAACTGCATTATAGTGCTGGCTCATTTAGAGGGTGCCAGCACGACCCTAGGTGGATGGGGGTGTCATCCATCATCTCAGTGGGCAGTTATGGGCGGTTTTGAGAATGGCCTATATAATGCTAAGGCGGGCTTTGTAGAGGGAATAGAGAAGAGGGTGTGAGCCTTGGTTGTTCCTTGTACGAACTCATGTTCCTTTGTAATATGTTTAATATGAGCAAAGGTTGGGGCTTGTCCTTGTAAACTGTGTGTACCTTCTTTACATTTCTATACTGTGTGTATTGTGTTGTTGTGTTGGCTGAGACTTGGTGGCCCCAAGTGCCATTGCAGAGGCAAAAATTCGTGGTGTAATTTAGCCCTGTGACACATAGCCAAGTAAAATTCGGTCCTTCTTTCGGCAGAAATCTTCGTTTCCCTATCACTATTCTTAAACAAATTAATAAAAATAATGGTGAGGATCAGGTATAGCATGCATATTTAGATAGAATGTGTAGATAGTTGTTTTATGTCATAAGTCACATGTCATTTTAATATTATTACCATAATGCCACATATGCATACTGTAAGAGCCTTTACTGTACGATAGAGCTCTATCCTTTTGTTCTCGTGAGGGGAGCCTATTGCAGTTGGATGGACTCCTTTCTACACGCCTACTCTCTATAGGAAGGGTCGTTATCCTTCACATTCCTGTTGTCGTGGAAGTTCAAGTACCTCGCTCTAATTGGATGGGTATCGCCATGCACTTTCTCTGAAGCCTCCATTTACGGATAAGGCTTAAATCTTGATCACTAATAACTGTTCATCTTGAGCTCGCCATGTATAGGAGCTCAAGGCTTAAAAGAAGTGCGAAAGTTCGAGCCCAAAGAAGGCAAATCCCAAGCCATTTCCCTATCTCTTCTTACTTCGCGAGACTTTGAGAATTGGTGATTAAGTGGCTGAGTTACAAGGAATCGCCACGCCTCGAGGCCTACACAAGAAAGGTTAGAGAATATTTAACACTCAATAGCTTAGCTCGAGTAGTAGAGATCACATAACGCATTAAATATATATTGATTAATTGATAAGACCCGTATGTAATGTTGGTCATCATCACCATCTCGAAAAGGGCGCGTGCCTCGCCACCTATTAGATATCTAATCTGTCAGGAGTTAAGTAGAGTGACCATTGGATAAAGAGGGAGTTAGCTCTCATAACCAATGATCCTTACCCAAATGAACGTAGTATTATGATGATGGAACCATTGGCGGATCTAGGGGGGCTTGGGTGGGCTCAAGCCCCCCTCCCCCAAAAAAAAAAAAAAAATTTATTATACCTAATTTTAGTCCAACAAAAAAAAAAAAAAAAAAAAATTATTATTATTACTATTAGCCAACTCAAAGAAATATTAATCTACCCCATTGACAATTTCTGGACTCGCCATTGGATGGAACATACAACTACCATATCCACTTTGGATATGGCCCAATGGTTTACTCTCTGGAGTTTGGAGCTTAGTAACCCCAAAGTCTGGGGTTCAAGTTTCATTGGGTATTATTTGTGGCTAGCTTCCGCTATCCCTACAGTGACTTATCCGGTCGAGTGGGGAGACGCCCTTCCGAATTCTCGGAAATTAATCAAGTTGTTGAGGGACCCTAAGGGCTCATGTCTTCACGGACAACCCGGGTTAACTAAAAAAATACATACAACTATCACAACCATGAATAAATGATCTTTTAGGACTCGAACTACCATAAGGTATTAAACCAATCTGCCATCTCTCTCAATCTCCTCTGTAAAGAATCTCTTGTCCTATCTTAGAGCTCCTTTCAGCCTCTGATCTCAGCATTCTTAACAGACATGAAACGATCTCCTCATCTCATCATGAACTATCATCAGCAAAATAAAGAATATAAATATTTTTTTTTTTTCCTGAAAAAAAAGGCACACAGCAACACATTCCCATGCCCGTAGGAACTTAAAACATCAATCTTCTGTCTTGAAAGGCTAGTAGGTACCACTAAAAATAATCAACATTTATTTATTTCCTTATGTATATTTGACTTTTACTAGCTAGTTTATGGTCAATGTTGACATATCAGGTTCATAAAACATCCAACGTGACGGTTCAAATTGGCCGCACATACAAAGATAAAAAAGCAAGACATGTCCACCACACAACATCTTCATGTTCGCCTATATATGACACTTTGTTGTATATTGAAAGATAACTTAGGAAAAAGAGCTCATTGTAATGTCATAGTCTGGTAGAGACCGAGCCATGGGTTTTGATGGAAAAGGGTATGGTTTGGTTGTGGTGGTGGTGGTGGCCTGGTCCCTATTTGGTCTACTATGTGAAGGCAAAGAAGGGTGTGAAGAGCCACTCAATTGTAGACGCCTTGAGTGTACTCCATATCAAGTGATTCACACCCAAAACGACTTTGAAATCAGAAGTTACCCCAATGCTATGTGGATGTCTACTCCCCCCAATCAACTGTACCTCTTACAAGGATGCAGTTGGCAGAGGCTTCAACCTGAAGTAAAACACAAGCAACTACTCTCACTCTCTCTCTTTCTGAAAAAAAAAAAAAAAATAAATTTACTTTAGACATCAATACATTTGATATAGGACTGAAGCACCATGAAAGATATAGGACTTTTATTTTATTTTATTTTAATACTGTGGTGGATATGTATTCTTATTTGAAAAATGAAATATTAAATTACAATTATACTTATTAAATATATGGCTTGAATACGTGAGCCTCACAAGATTCAAGAATTGAGTTTGCACAATTGTGATTGCACAACTCTTCTTTTTTTAGTTGGTATTGTTTTGTAACCTAATTGGTATAACATCTAATTTTTTGAATGAGTGTACCCATGTTTGGGTTTCCATCTAGTTTGCCAGGATAAAAAAAACTCTTCTTACTCTAACGATATGACCTCGAGTCACATTTTGAACAATAAAAATACACTTCCATTACTGGTGGAACCAATCTCAAAATTGTAAACCAAATTATTGTTGTAGGTGGAACCAAAATTCTTCTACCCTACCGGTCCTCTTTGGCTTGGGATTTTGGAGAAAGTTTACAATAGCCCGAATACTGTACTTTCGGGATCTGTTGGTCATTATCTATTAGTTGGGCCCTACCACCACATACGGTTGGGAACTTTGGGATACCGTACATCCGGGTATTGTAGATTTTTATGAAATTTTGCTCGAATTTGTTCATTCTAATTATGTTTTTGTTGCATGACAGCCTCTTTGCCTACATTCAGGGCAGTAATGATCAAGCAGCAAAAATCGACATGACAAAGCCCATCTTGGTCGATGTTTATCCATCCACCGGACCTTTCTGTAATTCGTCCTTTGTCATGCACTTTTACGTGCCACAAAAGTACCAAAAGAGCCCTCCTCTCTCGGTTCACGCCCGGCCAGTGAGGTTGCCTAGACACAAATATGCTGCTGTTAGGAGATTTGGGGGCTTTGTGGATGACACCAACATTGCTACACAAGCTTTGGCCTTAAAGCGAAGCCTCAAGGACAACCCTTGGGGGTCACAAAGTGCTGTGCCTTTTAGTGTTGCTGGCTACTCACCTTATGAATACGAGAACCGTGTAAATGAAGTCATATTGTGGTGTGACAAATTTTAATTGGTCTTATTAAGCAAGTCATGATTTAAAAGCCAGAGCTATATATATATATAAATCTATCTTTATCAAAGGATAACTATGTGTTGGACTCCAATTGGGCTGTCTATTAGGAGATTCGGTTCCTTTTTCATATGCATAATCTTGTTGTATAGCTTTTTTTTTTCTTTTTTTTTTTAATCACCCACTTGATATATATAGGTCTGTCAACACTTGGCACTTCAGTGGCAGACATGAACATGTATGTTTTATGAGACTAAATCAACTGATTGATTGGGTTCGATTTAGACCTTTTGACCAACAATGATAAATAATTAAACATACATTTTAAAATATAAATATTTAAACATGTATAATAATCCGAATACAGTTTTCCTACTTTTCACTTACAAGAATGACGAGTTTTACGATTTATTTATTTTTAAATAAGACAAAAAAAAGTCTTATTTTTTTTATAAATATTTCAAACTAATATTGTAAGCCATTAGCAGATTTATTCATTTTTTCTACTTTTGCTCTTTCTTGAAATAAATTAAATTTATTTTAGTTTTTAAAATTCTAGCTCTTTAATTTTTCCTTATTTTCCTCTTTCTCTCTTTAAATTTCTTTAATTTCCTTAAAAATAGTAAAATTTTCCTATTATGTCGTACTCTAATTCTTTTTCTTTCCAAAGTTATGTCATTCTTCTTTCCTTTTTCTTCTATTACTTAAAATTCTTCTTCTTCTTATTCTTATTTTCTTTGTTTATTTTATTTTTTTTCACCATGCCACCCAAAATTGAAATCCTAATTCCGCCCATATCCCTAACAACTCATTTATTTTATGGAAGTTATGGTTATCTTCGTTAGAGGGGCCAATTGGAACTTAACTTGAGCCCAATCTAAATTTTTAATCATTTTCACAATTATAATTGGATCAAGGTTGAAAATATTAACTTAAACTTAATTAGAGTTGAACTTGAATTGAGCTGCAAGCAACACAAGCTCAACCCAAATGCAAATTATAATATTATGTTTATATATCTTTTATTTTATGATCAACTTTGTCTTTTAAACTTCCTTTATTTAAATATTAATTTATTGCATGTTAACACTTAAAATTTTTAATTTCATAACAATTCGTTTGTAATTTTTTAAAAAATTACATTGAGTTTTTTATTTTTTTTTTTGCTTAGAAATATTCTAATATGAAACTAATTTAACTTCACATTAAACTTTTAGTGTCAAGATTGATGATATGTTTAAAACCTAAATTAACTTGATTTTCAAACTCGAAACCTTAACTCAAGTTTAAATTTTCAAAAATAAATTGAACTTGAATTAAATAGTTAAGATTAAAAATTAGGTTTGAGTTGAACATTTTATATATTGAGTTTAACTTGTGTAGCGTTGAAGGCATAATTACACTATTACTCAGGGGCGGAGCCAAAATTTTAATTCAGGGGGCGAAGTGTAAAAAAAAAAAAAAAAAAAAAAAAAAAAAAAAAAAAAAAAATTGCATACTACATACATCATTCTTAAGTGTAAAAAAAAAAAAGAATGTTAAGAAGTAGGTGATAAAAAATAATAATAATAATAATAATAAATAGAGCTTGAGTAAAGAAGAAAAATTTCACTTTGTTTTTTTAAGAAAATGAAAGGTATATTAAGAGCAAAAGAAAAAGGAAAGAAAAATTTAGAAAATAATTTTAGAAACTAAATTTTTTTGGAAAAGCATTATATAGAATTTTTTTTATAAATGTACAAATTTAAAAAAAGAGTACTATATTTTATACCCTATCTGTCCCAAAATAAATGTCACGCTTTTCTTTTTTATCTGTCCCCAAATAATAGTCTATTTTTATTTTTCAAATAATATATTTCACATTTTTTTATATATGTCATTTGAGTTTAAAATTTAAAACTTGAATATTCAAAACTTAAAAAGACAAATTAATAATTAATTTTTTAAATAATACATGTCTTACACGTCCTCTTAAAAATTACTACAAGTCTACACACGCACCGGTTCCACCCCTGCTGTTATTTTATTAGAGTATCTCTAATGCTAAAATGCTAAATTTGGATGCCAAATTTATATTTTAACAGTGCTACAATGTTAAAATGTTACATTTTAGCAATTATGCTCCAATGATACATTTTATGCAAAATGCTATTTTTTAACATAACCACTATTCTTTTTCAACTACCGTTCCCACCATTCATATTTGTATCAGTAATGTTGATATTAAGCACATTCCAAGTCAAGTTGTAAACATTAGAAGGAAACTAAAATTAAATTTAATTAAAAAGAATAAAAAATCTAAAATATCTGGTAAAAAAGGACCAATATATATATATATATATATATATATATATATATATATAAATTTATATATTTAATTATATTATTACATAAATTTTTTGTATATAATTTTTTTTTTCTTTTTCAGAAATTTATATATTATATATTATATATATTTGATTATATTATTATCAATATATATATATATATTTAGGGCAAATCATTTCAGCCTCCCCAATCGCCTCCATCTCTATTCTCGTTCTCAATTCTAAGAACTTGCCCTCTCTCTCTCTCTGCAACTACAAATTACAAAATCTACAAGAATCAGAAGTTCAAAACCCATATATTTGAGTTTATCTATTTGTCTGCAAGAATCCAAAGTTAAAAACCTATTACCTATATCAAAACCCATATCGGCGTACCATTTCATATTGTTCAAAAAATCAAAACCCATATCTTTCAGTTTCCATCGCCTGCTGTTCCAGTTCGGGTTCGCTGTTCTCAAGTTTTAGCCGCTATCTCTCAGCTCAGTCCACCAAGAGACATCAAGAAAGAAATTCACCGTCTTTGTCGGAAGAATCCCAGGGATAGAATCCAAACGGATCGTCGTCGAGAAAATTGTAGGAATTAGAAGCTTTTGCTCTGAAATGGACAAAGGAAGAGAGCGATTGAGGGCGAAGAAGTAGAAGTAAGAGAAGAAGAAAGAGTGGAGAAGCAGAGGGCACTGGTTTCTTCCACTAAATGAGAGATTTTGGAAGGAAGAGAGAGGCGACAGGCAACAAAAAGACAAATAACTATTGCTATTTGTTTTGTTAGATTTGACACCAAAAATGGCAAAGACAAATTTTGATAGGTGATATAGCAAGTCATTGGAAGGCTCAATTTTAACTCACTTGTTATATTTTAAATTGACAGCTCATATAACAGGTGGGTTGGGATGCTCTTACAGAGTATATTATATGTATTATTTAGTTTTTCTTTATTTTTATTTTTACACTATTATTTACTACAGTAGTTAGCAATGTACTTTCTATGCTATGATTGTTGCCTTGCGAGTTCATCAATCAGACAGGAATCTTCCTGACTCGGTCCACAGCTACTGATTTGAAAAGAAAATAGCCAAAAAAACGGAGCCATAAACCACTCCAATGTGGACACATCACTACTACTACTACAACAACAAGTACTACTCTCTACAAGAAACTGTGACGACCCTTTCAATTTTGTAGTATGTGCACTGTGCGTGTTCATTTAATGCCCACCTGATTATTTCACTCCATTAATGAAACAAATTTTAGTTTTATCACAAGGTCCACTAATTAATTAAGAGACCTTACAAATGGTACAGCTAAGCCTCTATATTTTTAATCATATCAATGCGAGGTTATTGTGGTAATCACACTCGCTTAAAAGATAAGATATTGTACGAGAAATAGATACAAACTAATTGGTTGGACAATGCCAGCGTGTCACGGAAAACAAAGAGAAGCGGAGTTTTGTTTGTCTGCACTGAGACCATACGAACATCACGGTTTAGCACAAACGCTGTTATACAGTTAACGGCGACCAAGCTCAAGCGCTCAACTTCATGCTCAAACTCATCGATCGGAGGAGCAAGCAGTGAAGGATCCGTTTCTCTCTCGCTCTAATTCGCTTTCTCTCTCTAGAAAGGAGGAAGGAGAGGAATATCGCCGGGAAATCGATGAATTCCGGCGGGAGGTTGTGAGTCGGCCGGCGATCGAGGTAAGGGAAGTGAGCGAAGAGAGAGAAAGAGGTGGTCTGTTGTGAGCGACGATCGAGAAATTAATGATAGGAGAGAGATATATTTTATTATAGAGAGAGAATACATGTGGTTAACGTGCAATGTAGGGAAAAAAGTTGAGAGAAGGCATCATCAAGGAGGCTTAATTTAGAGGTTCTTGCACGGCACAGATTCCTAGATTCCTTCTTCAATTTTTCGCTTGCCTTATGCCGTAATTCATTCGATTTCTCTCGCTCTAGCAACCTCGATCCCTCCCTAGTTTTGTTAAATTCTTCAATTTTTCTCTCTATATGTATGTGTGTATATATATGTTTCAAATTGACCTTCATAGTTAATAAATTGTGATTCTGATTGTGAGTCGTTCGGAGGAGATGGCTTTCATGATTTAAAAGGTCCGCGATTTTCCTTTTCTGAATTTTAACTTTGAATTCTCGCGGCATTTAATTTTTCAGCTACTTCTTAGACTCCGATCTTTCGATCGATTTCATTTCAACTTCAAAGCTGGTTCCTTTATACATGTTGAATTGAGAAGCTTTTTATGAGTATTATTTTTTTGAGATTTAGAACTCATCTTTCCTTTTATGAATGCTTTGATTTTAATTTTCAGTCTCGTTTTTGACCTATTTATGTTGTCCTTCATTCGTGTATGCTGTTCTTGAAATTTTTTAGTTTTTTTTTCTATTGAAAGTTAAATGTTTTTGTTTTTCTTCTTAATTTTGAGTTCTTAAATGCATCCATTTCAATGAACTCTGTAAAGAGATGCCTTCTTATCAGAATTGAAGAATTTGTTTATTTTCTATTATTTGTTTTTGAAGCATTGTTCTTGGCTGCCTACGTATGAATTGGTTTCCTCATTTGGCAACCTAATAACAAAAGCGAATTTTAAAATTTAAATGGTAATGGATGAACTTTCCTGCACAAATGGGAATCAATATACTGTTTAGGTTCTCTAACGCATCTCTATGTCTTTGATTATTGGCTTCTATTGAAGTGGGTAATTTCTTTGTTGTAACTTGTCATTTCCGATTGCAGCTATTGGGTTGTCTATTTTGAATTTTTCTTGTTTCTAATTTTGTTAGTAACTTTTTGGTATTGATGTGTGCTGCAGTGTCAGAAGCTAGAGGAGGAACTGTTTTGAGTATTTGTGTGCTTTTTTAAGTTGTGGGATCACCATGCCATCTGAAATCATGGACCCACAGGGTATGTCTCCCTCATCATTTTTCTCCGAAGAAATATGTTTCCATAATGAGGTATTTCTTGCCCTTGCATTGGTCAATTCCATTTATACTTGAGGAGTTCGTAGGAATATAACTTTCCTGTTGTTTAGGAATTCATTTAGTGCAGTGGTTCACAATTGAGGCTTTGGATTTTTTATTTTATTTCCTTCTCAGCAGTACCCTTTATTTTTATTTTTTATTTTTCATGTATCCTCGTCGCAGTTGTCATTTCTCTCTTCTATGTTTTTACACTCGGCAGAGACAGGTTGAGTAGTAGTATACATTTTAACCACGCAGACCATTATGTTGAGTAGTAATACATTTTAACAGTACACACTTTATTGTTCGGTTTCACGTCCTTGAAACTTTTGCAAGATTTAGCTGGTCAAACTCATTTTTGTTTTTCGTTTTTGTTTATTATTTATTCTTCCATCTTTTCATTTTACGGCATATGATACTTATACTGTTTGAATTTAGTATTTTGGTCAATGTTTGGGCTTTGTCACTCCAAAGACCAAACATTGACGAAAAATGGCTTATCTTAGGTGGATCATAGATGTGTGTGGTTCAACCTTTCATCTTTCTTTTTCTCATCTCCATTTTTCCTTGTTTGGCCACTGCTGTTGATACATTGGTACCTGGTTTTGCCATTCGATGCATTGTCACCTATACTAACCATATACGTGACAAAGCATGTTCACCAGTTTCTTCCCTGACAGAGGGGAGGAGGTTGGTCCTAGTGGAAGACTAGGTCGGCATTGTCTTCTCCAAACCTAATTATGGGACATTACAGCAAGGTCTTAGGGAGGGACGACTTTAAACAGATCTAACATTTTCACAAAGTGGCTGTTCTGAGGCTCAAGCATTAAACCACATATAGTTAACATCTAAAGTATGATAGAGGAGTTAGAACAATGCTAAAGCCACAACATAGCATCAGTGTAGAAACACAAAGTCAAGGCATGAAAATAGGCGTAAGAAGTTGTAACTGGTTTGTTAGAAATTTATAGGAAGGGCATCAGAAGTATGCATGAATAATGCTTTGAACTTGAGAACTTGAAAGCATTTTAATTTACAAGTAAGTATGGCATGTGAATTTGTTTATGCAGATGATGCTATGTAAGTCAACTAAAATGTGGTTTGGACATGCAAAGAAGACGACCAAGTGTACCAATTAGGAAGAGTGACATGGTCCACATTGACGGTACTGTTAAAGGAAAGTAGAAGACAAAATCAACATGAATGGGGTTGAGGAAAGATATGATAAGTTGATAACACGTGGTTTGGCCAAGACTATTTGCTTAAATATATCAAAATGGGAAAACACGATTCTTGTAGCCGAACCCAAGTTTTTGTGAAATATCTTTGTTGGGTTAAGTTGAGTTTAGTAGATGATGCCATTTAAATAGAAGTGTACTTGTGATACAGAATTTTTAGTTGAATTATCAGTGGCTTATACATATTTTTGGCTAGTATTTAATTAATGAATTTACTTTGATCAGGATTAATTAATTGATTTACTTTGATTATTTCTCTTAATGGAAGACAGTTTCAAATTATTATTAGAGTTAGAATATGACTAAATTTTTGGAAACACAAAGTTTGGAAGTTGAGCTGTGGATTGACAAGAAATGGGATGAGATTGAATAATGAGGTTCTATAGCATTCTTGCTTAACATCTTTGGAAGCATCCTGCTTCCCACATTTACAGCATAGGGATCTGTTTTTTAAGAAGAGGGACATTTGCATGAGAAACGAGTTGCAGCTATATAAAGTTGAAATACAGAACAGGACATCTGCATGCACGCCTAAAATGCCCCCAGTTGAATTCAGGGGCTGCTTCACTAGATCAATAGATTGACTCTATATTTCGAAGAATTAGAACAGATGACATTGTCAGAAAAGAATCTCGTAATGGCCTTTGTTATCCTCCTTTTGAATCCGATTTCGTGAATTTTAAAAGAATTAATTCAACTTTATTTCTTCTGAAAGACTAGCATAGTCAAAATATGATGTGGTTTGTTTAGAATGGAAATTTTGCCAATTGGACTCTTAACGCATTCATTTAAAAGGACCGGATAAAGGAAATGTTCTGAATTTGATTTTGTACTTGAGCACAATTAATGTATTGGTGTTAGCTTTGTTGATTTGAGTTCTAGGTTTTTTGGGACCATTTCTTGAACTAATATTATGCTATGTAAATGCTACTTTATTCAGGCATGAAAATGGATGCCAAATTACGAAGAGAAGTCGGCAATTCAGTTGCTTCATCACCCATGGAGAAACGAATAACAGTGGATTCTCAGATGGTTAAGTGCCTTGAACCTCCTGATTCTTACCTAATCCGAGACCAAAAGGTTAATTTTAGCTTAAAGAAGCACGCTGTGGGAGCAGAGAGAGCAGCCATTCAATCCTTGCAGATACCTCTTGATTGTGATCGTGGAGCAAGATCTAGTATGAATAGGGAGCAAACATCTTATTTTGTTGGAGAGGACAAACATAATGTTATGGGTGTTCAGCACAAGAACGGTCTCTTCTCAAGCTCGTTGTCAGAATTATTTAGCAGAAAATGTATGTTCCCTACCCCGCCACCTGAAACCCAATAAATGCTTTTTATACAGTCAAATGTTTGCGTAGTGGTACCACCAAATATGCTTGAACTGTTGATGTTTTTCATATTACTAACTACATGGTTGTCTGAAATCAATTCCTAGTTTGTTTCTCTTAGGCTAGATGCAATACTTTGTCGATTCACTGGTACATCTGTTTCTGTTGTTTCACTCTGAATTTTTGTGGTGCAGTGAGATTATCATTAAACGATACTCTATATGGTCATTCTGTTGGCAATGCTGCTTCTCACTATGAGGAAGATGAACCTTTTGAATCCCTCGAGGAAATTGAGGCTCAAACTATTGGAAATCTTCTTCCAAATGACGATGAATTACTTTCTGGAGTGACTGATGGGCTTGATTATATTGGCCAACCGAATAGTGGAGAAGACATAGAAGATCTGGACCTTTTTAGTAGTGTTGGAGGGATGGACTTAGGAGAAGATGGGTTTTCACCAGGACAAAGAGATTCTGAATCTTTAGGTGGAAATTCTAACAGTCAGCTTGGAAGATCTAGTAATGCAATTGCTCGAGAACACCCTTATGGGGAACACCCATCTCGAACGCTGTTTGTGAGGAATATTAATAGCAATGTTGAAGATTCTGAGTTACGAACCATTTTTGAGGTGTGCTATTTGTTCTTTCTTTCAATATCTTAGTTTGTACTTCAGTTCGCCTTTTTTTCTACTTCAGCATTTTTTCTACTAAAGCATTTTTTCTACTTCATCATTTTGTCTTACTTTCTTCTGACTGGCAGACAGAACCCACCCGCCACAAGCTTCCCAGATTATGAAGTTATCTTGACCCTTTTTGTTGTATCTTGAATGTGCAGCAATATGGAGATATCCGCTCGCTTTATACAGCTTGCAAGCATCGGGGCTTTGTCATGATATCCTATTATGATATTAGAGCAGCCCGAAATGCAATAAGAGCACTTCAAAACAAACCATTGAGACGTAGGAAGCTTGACATACATTTCTCAATTCCGAAGGTATGCTAATGTTTTGTTCGTACTTACCTACATACACTAAATTTTGCATTTCTTAGTTTGTCATCACGCTGGTCTTTTTTTTTTTTTGGTGTGTGTGTGTGTGTGTGTGTGTGTGTGTGGTAAGTGGTCTTTCTTGTTATCATTATAATATGAGGAATATAAGATTGTTGAATTGGTATACCATCATTATATATTCATTGGCGCACGAATGTTACCTGACTCCTCACCCTCACCCTGCTGTTTATCTTCCGTTAGGACAATCCATCAGAGAAAGATATCAACCAAGGCAATCTTGTGATTTTAAAGCTTGATTCTTCTGTTTCACGTGATGAACTCTGTCAAATTTTTGGGGTCTATGGAGAGATTAAGGAGGTGAGATTGTTTATCTATCCCTGGTGGACTTTGAAGTTCAACTGGCATGGCTAATTCTTGTTTCTGGAATGCAGATCCGTGAGACTTCACCTGGAAGTCGTCGTCAATTTATAGAGTTCTATGATGTTAGAGCTGCAGAAGCTGCTTTTCGTGCATTGAACAGGAGTGATATTGCGGGGAAGAGAATTAGGCTTGAACCAAGCCGTCCTGGTGGTGCTAGACAGTGGTATTTTCCAATCTACTTGGCTATGTGGATTTTGTTATACTTTTCCACTGTGATAGGGTCATAACTCATAACTTCAATCAAACTAAACGCTGTTATGTCTTTTTTTTATTATCTCAGTCAACATTAAATTTGGCCTTTCTTTGGCTTTACCCTTAATGTACCATGTCACTCTTCCTCACTGGTGATTTATTTTTCACTATAAATGACCAAACCATCTTAGTTTCATTTCATCTTTAATTGGTGTTACTTCTACAATCTCATAACCGTCATTTTTTGTTCATCTTTTCTGGTCTTACAACTCATCCGTTCCAACTTCTGCATATAGACCACACTCATTTTTTCAACATGTAACATTCTGTTCAACAGTAGTGTGGTTGTTCTGATAACCACTTTTGAATTTCTGAGCATTGTTATATCCAGTCTCTTCCTTTGAATGTTTTTTTTGTTTTTTTGGGTAGGTTCTTTCAATGAATTTTAAAGTCTAGCTAATATTTTTTTTCCTCTTTGATATATGTAGGCCTTCGATCTTCACGACTTGATTTGTATGTCTAGTTTTGCTAAAGCTAAATTTTATCTATTCAGCTTTAGTTTTGAATGTAAATTGCTCATTTTAATTTATGTTAATTTACTTTGTTCCCCTTTGTTTTCTTTATGTATTAGTTATTGTTGTTATTGTTTTGGCAGTTTGATGCCACCCTTTCCTCTAGAGATGGGGCAAGATGAAATCCGTCCATACCTACAACAGAATAGCCCTCCTAATAACTCAACAACAATGTTTTCTGGAATAATTACTGCCAGTGAGATATACTACTCTCTATATATCATTTCAGAAGAAAGCGATACGTTTCAGTTGCCTAATGATATCATTTACAGGACCAGTTTCACAGGTAGGAATTACATCTTCTAGCATGGATAATGGAACTATTTTGGGTCTACACTCTGCAACTCGATCTCCTATTAGTCCATTTTTGGAAAATGCCTTCAACCATGGGATTTCATCTAGCGTTCCTAAGAGCTTACCCTCTCTGGTGCGAGTTGAATCAATTGGCAATCCCTCTGACCCCACTGAGTCTGGCCACTCACCAGGCCAACTGAACATTGATTTCCAGGGCACACCAAATTTTCATCCTCATTCGCTTCCAGAGTATCATGATGGTTTAGCGAATGGTGCTCCCTGCAATTCTCCAGGCATGGCTGCAAATATCAGTGCCAGACCATTAGAAAGAATTGAGAACCTGCAGTTCTGTAGAGTTAGCTCAAATGGGCACTCAATCAAACTAAGTGAAGGTGGTAAGTAAAGTAGATCATGAGTTTCTTTTGTTTTTTAAATTTGTGTCAGTTTCCTGTCTTTTGAGTGTCTGGTCAGCCAAGAGAAGACAACCTGGAAGGAAACTTGACGTATGCTGCAATTGGATTACTCAAATGACCTTATTTTCTGATAATTCTAATTTCACTGTCCTCTGGTCTCTTTCTCAGTTTTTGGTCAATCTGGAAATGGAAGTGGTCTCTCTCCTGGACATCATTATGCGTGGACTAACCCACATCACCCTCAGCCACAAGGCATGATGTGGCAGAACTCACCATCATTTGTCAATGGGGTTTGTGCTGCTCCCAGATCATCATCTCATATGCTGAACACAATTTCACCCATAAATAATCACCATGTGGGATCAGCACCATCTGTTAATTCTTCTCTCTGGGACAGACAGCTTGCCTATGCTGGCGTATCCCCTGATGCTTCTGGTTTTCACCCAGGTTCTCTTGGAAATATGAGAATTTCTGGTAACTCACCACATTCTATGGAATTTGTTTCTCATAACATATTTCCCCCCATTGGTGGAAGCTGTATGGACCTGCCGATTCCCTCCCAAAACGTTGGGCTGCACTCCCATCATCAGAGGTGCCCATTGTTTCCTGGTAGAGGCCAAATAATTCCTATGATGGGTTCATTTGATTCTTCTAATGAGTGGGCTAGAAGTCGTAGACATGAAGGCAGTTCCAATCAGGGTGACAACAGGAAACAGTTTGAACTTGACATTGACCGCATAATGCGAGGGGACGACAAACGGACAACACTTATGATAAAGAACATTCCTAACAAGTAATTCTCTATAGTTCTATGATCGTATTTTTTAGTTCTTGAAGTTGAATGTGTTTTCTTATCTTTGAAATTCGTTATTGCTGTATTATTAATCCTTGTTCGGTAGGAAGGAAAATTTTGGATGGAAGGAAAAGAAGAATGGATGGATGTAACGTCCCTAGAGAAGAGATTACGTCCTTCCCTCTTTTTGTTCGGTTTGATGGAAGAGAAGAGAATAAGTTTACAAAATACTCTGTTTGTTAGTAGAAAAGGGAACAAAGAGTTTTAAATTGTTTTTGCCATTATACCCATCACTATTTATAGTATTGCAATTTAAAACTTAGTTAATAGCCCCACTTGTCTTCCCTCCTCTCTTCAGCCTATATTTGGAAGGACGAAAATTTGTTAAGGAGGAAGGATGACTCATCCATCGTATTATCTTTTCTCTCCTTGTCTCCTCTGTACCAAACAAAGGAAGTTTTCCTTCCTTCCTATCTTCCTTCCACCCCTCTTCTTTCCTTCCTACCGAACAAGGCCTAAAGTAATATTTCAAGGATGTGCCAGGGTTGGGTGCCCAGGCAATACCTTTTTTTCCCCAAGTAAATGAGCTATTTTTGGTTAGGCACTGTCTCAATGACTTTGTTTCGTGGACGCTCGCAGACACACACCTCTCTTACCATCTCAGGCTTTTACAACAACCACCAAGCCTTTTCCCAGTTACTTGGGGTTGGCTACATGAATCCTATGTTTTCATTCCGTTCTATTTAAGGCCATAGCCTCAGTTAATCCATATGCCATCATATCTTTCTTTACTTAGTCTACCCATGTATCTCAGGCTTTTAATCAGTTAATTATTGGTTTTGTCCGGAACCCCCTTCCCCTGCCATTACTGTCTCAGGCTTTTCATTGTAATTTGTACTTTTTTTCTATTTGTTGTTTTTTGTTTTCACTTTGTTGTTTACATGGCTTGTGGTAGAATTAAATTTCTCAATGTCCGGTTTATTCAATTGCCATTTTTCCTAGAATTTTATATTGAATGGCTGGTGATACAACAAGGAGCTATCTACCTAGCATTATATACAACATACATAAGCGATTAGCTCTAATCACATGCTATGTTTTATGTATGACATTTATGTTAGGTAGATCTGTTCGACGCTTAGACATGTCTTGAGGGCTAGAACCTAACTTGCCTACACAAATTAACTACTTTTCCCCTTTTCTTTTTCTTTTTCTTTTTCTTTTTTCTTTTTTCTTTTTTCTTTTTTATAAAAAAAAAAAAAAAATGTGTTCTTTTTTTCCAAGGGGATTGCAACATCTGAATCAAGCTCATTAGTCCCTCTAGTGATGTAGTGGAAGTATCGATTTCCATTCATGTAAACTGTTCTTTGGAAATGCACTTAGTGTTGCATTTTTAATCTTATTAGACTATAAGAAAATTTTCAAATCATTGGAGGAGTGGGTTTTATTCAGTTTGTTTGTTGGGCGCTAATTGATTCTCTTTTAATGTGGTGGTAATTGTAGGTATACTTCAAAGATGCTTTTAGCTACAATTGATGAACACCATCGAGGAACTTATGATTTCATCTACTTGCCCATCGATTTCAAGGCAAGTACATTTTTACCTAAAAGCCGCCCTGTGAGAAACTCAATGTGTTAATTTAGTATGGCTTCCACAATGTGTAATAATTATTTGGACTTTCCTTTTGTTGCAGAACAAATGCAATGTGGGTTATGCCTTCATCAACATGACCGATCCTTCCCTGATTGTCCCATTCTATCAGGTCTGTTTTGTATTTGCTCGAAGATGATACTATTGTTTCAGGATTATCATTATGAATTTCATTCTGATATATGTTAACAGTTTGTAAAATATCACAACTAAAGCTAATGTAAAATAAAAAATTACTATTGGCAGGCTTTTAATGGAAAGAAATGGGAAAAGTTTAATAGCGAAAAGGTGGCATCAATAGCATATGCTCGCATACAGGGAAAAACTGCTCTGATTTCCCATTTCCAAAATTCAAGCTTGATGAACGAGGATAAACGATGTCGACCTATTCTCTTCCACACTGAGGGTCCCAATGCAGGTGATCAGGTATGAGCGTCTCTACATTCATAGAATGTGGGTTTGTGTGTGTGTGTGTTGTAAAGCTTATGGTAGCTAGTTGTGCATAAAAGAAATGCGAAATTTATTTGCAAAATATTGGCTTAATGCCCATGACATTTCATGATACTTTTTAGTGTTTGCCATAAATATTACTTTTTCTTTCTTCTTCACATGCGACATTATCACTGAATAGCAATAATAATAATAATAATACTAATAGCAAGAGTAAAAGGAAGAGGAAGATCCACTTTAGATATGGTCCAGCGGTTTACTCGTTGGACTTTGGAGCTTAGCAAGCCTAAGGTCTGGGGTTCGAGTCCTACTGGGTGTTTTTTGTGGCTAGCCTCCGTTGCTCCTGCAGTGACTTACTCGGCTCGGGTGGGGAGGCGCCCTTCCGGGTCCTCAGGGATTAGTCGGGTTGTTGAGTGGTCCTAAGGGTTCGTGCTTTCCCGGATACCCTGGGTTAACTTCAACCAAAAAAAAAAAAAAAAAGGAAGAAGAAGAAAGAGATCTTATCTGGTGTGTATTCTCTCTGCAGGTTCCATTCCCAATGGGTGTTAACATTCGATCTCGATCCAGCAAGAACAGAAGCAGTACCAGTGCGGAAAACCATCAAGAAAGCTCAACAAATCTTGCAAATGGGGAGGGATCTTCCAGTGGTGACTCATCTTCAGGCTCTGGAAAGGATTCAGACTGAGCAAGACACATCTTTTTTGGTCGGAACTAACCTTGTAGGATCAAAACCAAAAAGTATATATATATATATATATATATAATTAAATTAAAATCACCCAAATTTTAGTAAATTATATTGAAGGGGTTGACGGATAAACCGGTGGGGAGTAAGAACTTGCTACTTTTAGCGGCTTTTGGAAAGCCTCCTAAAATCCAGAGATTCATGCTTGACCAAGTTAGTGCATTACCCATTTTCATGGATGGGGTATCGGAATACTAAGGCGGTTAGAAAAAGGAGCAACATGTGGAGCTTCAAAATTTTGGATGATTTATAAATATATGTATGTATGTATGTATTTATGTATGTATAGGAGTTTCGGACACTTGGAGGAGGCTTCTATACTCTTACCTTTGTCTTGTTTTCATTTCTTACTTTCCGGTACATTTTGTTTTCTGCAAAGAGATGGTCTCGTGAAACTCAAAACTGTTCAGGAATTTTTTGTAGTTTTGAACTGCTGATTTGTTTTCTACTTCCAGATCCTCTGCTAATCCACCGTTTTTTTTGTACTCAAACATTCGTATATATGGAGTATGTTTTGATCATTTAATTTAGCACCTGTTTTATCGAGAGATTAATTGATTCATATTGAGGCAATAACTCTGAATGTGTATTTTGATCATTTGTATTTGTGTTTGGGTTCTCGAAGTCTTGCTCAATCCTCTAGAAATTAATAATAAAATTGTTAATGATGACATAAAAGTAACCAAATTACTTGTTTGTTTTCATGTTTACAGCATGCTAAGCCAACCTAAAATGAAGATTCTTTTTGATCAAAAGTGGATTGTCTAATGCCATTGAAATTCTATCATATCCTTTGGGGTTTATTAATCATGGGAGCTCCACTATTCGAGAGTACAAAGTGACGTCTCAAAATGTGATCGAATCAATGACTATCTAATTGCCTGTTACGTGGGCCATGCCTGTTACGTGGGATGAGTGATTCAATATTCCTAGTTAATAATTTATGAAGTGTGGTGACCACAAAAGCTGTAGTATATTCTCTGTTTTTTTTGAAAAAGCTGGCAGTGAGTAATTTGGCCTGATTTAAAAATAATTAATAAATATAAAAAAATGACTTGCATAAAGAAAGCTCTCCAAAAACACACACACACACACACACACACACACACACACACATATATATATTTATGTTATTTTTCAGAGTTACAAGAACATGTCACATTGTCATTATGACTAGTAGTCCCTACATAAATAAAATGCAAGATCTGGACACCCAAAGATGCTAATACATAATATCTCTCTCTCTCCCTCTCTCTCTATATATATACATTATACTCTGTCACTAAATACTTGACTAGGCAGATCAAAGATGCTATCATTGCCAATCCAACAGCATCATCAATTCAAAATGATCTTTTATGAAAGTTGCTATCATTGACATCCTCAACTCCCTCTAAGTGATCTTTTATGAAAAGAAATAGAACTTGTATCATTCATTCATCAACATCATCAATTCAAAATCCAACCAAACCATAAAACTTCTTAAACCTAACCAACTTCACCAGGCCGAGCTTCACCTGGTTTTTCCTAACATGGAGGGAGGACAAATCTCGATTAATGCTAGTTGTCCAGTTCGTATGCAGACTACATATTCTTTAAAAAGATAAAAACATGCAGCAATGTATAACGTTCAAAAGTTCATCAGCTTGAGGTTCCAACACATTATACAAATTTTATTTCACCAACACACTACCATTGCATATGATTTAAGAGTAGACGTGTTCATATATGACATGTTCAATCCTGAAGGGAAGATAAGATGATTTAACTCTTCAGAAATCTTATGTCCAATCATAGTATGAAGAATCGAAAAAGTTAGCTTTTTTGTGCTCATGAAATCCTTTCGACATAGATTTACCTAGATGCTTAGGACACGATTGGCAGCCTGTAATAATATGTTCACTGCCAAAACAAAAACTCCATCTACAAGAAGCTTAACATACATAAACGATACAGTAAAGGTGAATTCATCAGTAACCAACATGAGAGTAATCTAGAGACATTGTTATTGTCAACTTCCTGCAAATCACAAGAGGCCTCATGACCATACCAAGGATGCCACATCATCCAATGAAAACATGAAAGCATTTTAGTGATTCAACTAATTCACATTTTTTGGTGACGTAGTAAAGAGCTCTATTGTATTGCAGTGTGGCATTGTGAACAGCGAGGAGCAGTCTGTCACAACTAATGTTCAGGAACCAAATTCTCACTCAACAAAGGATTCTCAGTAACTAAACCACTAAGACAAGCACCAGCTCATCCAAGGTAAGAGAATTTCATTTTGAGTAGAGAATATCGTAGTGACCTGGTCGGTATAGCAAGTTGATAAATGGTTTGACACTCTCAGAGCCACCACCATTGACACTCTCAGAGCCACCACCATTGATACACTCAGAGCCACCAACAGTAGCATTACCAATAGCAGGAATGAAATCATGATGATTTACACTGACGCCACCATTATCACATGAACTGCGGTCAAGATATACAACACGAACTGGCACGCCCAAAGCATCTGACAATGCCGTAATGTGCACATGGTCACTCTCTTCACCCATTGGTTCCACAGACGTCTTGCAAAACTATATGAAAACAGAAGCAAAGATGAAATAATGCTGGGAGGGAGGAAACATCCGAAAGTATTGAGAACCTGAGGAACTTTGAACTTAATCTCAAACAATAAAGAATCCAACAATACCTCCGCAGTAGGAGATAAAATAATAATACCCAAAAGAGAGAGAGAAAGAGGGAGAAGGAATCTCTACAACTATAGATTGATGACTGAGTAGGGAGATTTTGGTATTTCAAAGACAAATGAAAATGTTTCAATCGTCCAACATGCCCCAACAAAAAATGTAGGTGTAATCTCTGTGAACCAAAAATCATTGCAATTAAAGTTATAAATAACAGTGGTTCCACTCCATACATTTTGTTGGCTTTTTTACATCAAGTATAATTAGAGCTAAACCAAAAATCATATCAATTAAAAGTTACATATAACAGTGGTTCCACTCCATAGAAACATTTTGTTGAGTTTTAGATGTCAAGTATAATGAGACCTATAATAAAATACAGATGAAGATCATGTAAATTGAATTTTTCTAAGTTACGATAAGTTAAAATTTTGTTGAGTTGACACATCTCATGTTCCTCAGATCCACATTCACAATGACCACATCATTCACTAATAAACAAAAATAAAAGAAGAAAAAAAACACCAAAACACCGTCATGTTGGAGGGCCAATTTAACACACGCCTTGGAAAAAGGCTGTCTATGTCACGTCTCATTCTCGCTAGAGGTTTCCCTCTCTACCCTGTTTTTCTCTCTACCGGACCAATCAACAATGAATCACACCACCAGCAGCCATGCTGACAACTTTGACAATCATCAAGGAAGAGACCCCAAGTGGGCAAAAGCAGGTTCCAAAACTAAATTTAATCACGAGAAGAGGGAATGAATCATGGTGTCGTCCAGGTGGCCATTGGGTGTTCATTGTCGGTTGGTTTGATAGATGGGGAAGAACAAGGGCAGAGGTAGAAACTTGTAGATGAGAGACAGAAATGAGGTGAAAAATAACAGTTGTTTATCTACATGTCCACGACTTGGATCCAAAAATGATGCATTTATTTATTTTGTTCATTAGCGAATGATGTGGTCCATTGGGAGTCATAGATCCATGGAACATGATTTATGTCAATGCAAAAAATTTCAAACTCAGGATAACTTAGAGAAATTCAACTTAAAGGATCTTGAACCGATCAAAACATGCACTATATTTGTCACCAAACTACCCGCCAACATAAGGTAAAAGTCAATGCTGAAAAGTTAGAAATAATGGTATAGGTATAAGCAAATAAGTTCTTGAGATCGATCAAACCTGCTCTACTGTTACATTTGTCAATCCCAGTATAAATGGTTCAAAAAACTCCGCGCGCTTCCGTATTTCGCCAGAGGTGACAAATCTGAAGAACATCACAACTAACCAACAAACTACATTAGGAGATATAGCCAACGGCAAAGCACATCAAACCTTCTAGTACTCAAAGTCAACTAGATGGATGCCAGACATATGTCATGTTTCACTCACCATAGTCAGATATTGACTGATCTCGACTCCTCTGTAAAAGTTCATCATGACTAAAACAAAAAATTGACAAGTCATTTTATTTACGTTAAGGGGGGAAAACTGAAATTATGGCTTAATATACCACTTGGGAACGTAGTTCAAATAAAGTTTGAAGTAATAGCAGCAAGCTAGTCTCAAAACCTTATGGAAGCTTCATTCCCTCGAAGAACACTTTCCAGTTGCTCAAGGAATAACTGAAAATATTGCAGAAGGATTTACAGTTACATATTGGCGATGCAAAAGAGAAGTAAATAGAGAAAAAGAAGAAATTTCCACCAAAAATTGGTAATTAAAAGATCAAGTTAAAATTTAAAATGAAAAAATGCAAACAGTATTGATCAAGATATCCTCTTTATATCTTCTTCCGAAAATGAAAACTAAAATATAACCTCTCATTTTTTTAACATTGATAGGATATGAAAGATTTAATAGAAAGAAAGGAAGAGAAACAAAATGAGGAGGTCTCCTCGTGAAAGGAACAGAAACAAAATGGGAAGGACTTCTCATGCAAAAAGAAGGATGGAAAAAAAAAAAAAAATGCTAACACAGCTGTTAAAGGCATGCCTAGACCCTAAAAGAAAACCCAGCTTGTCAAAGCTCAGCAGATATAACTCAGCCTATTATATGAAAGGTCCCTTCATTCTAACTTATATCTTTTAGTTCAGGCTTAAAAAACCTTTATATTTTAATCATTCAATCAATAACCTTTTCTTTTTTCTTTTTTTCATTTTAGTGGTCATGAATTGGCATAATATATGAAACCACGGTCATAATTGATAGATCATGTTGTTTGATTTTATTGGATATTTGGCACATTTCAGAATCTAATGGTTGATTAATTCTCAGCAACATTTTATTGCTGCACATTTGTAACAGGATTTGATTTACTTGATGCATAATCAAAGTTAGGCGAACCTTTGAATTGAAGAACACGAATCAATGAAGAGCATGAACCGCAATTGCCGCAATTAACGAAGCATGCTTAATAATGTTCAGACCACTAAAGTCCATTTTCATCAAAGTATGACTTGGAAAAACTCTAATGCTCCATTTGCATCAAAGGATTTGAAATAAATGGATCCAGATTCAATTATTTGAAGAGTATAGTTTAAATTTAGATTAATAATATAGATTCAAATTGTAGCTGTGCATAGATTTATTTTGAGAGCCTTATATGTATGGATTTCAAATAACAAAGTGCAAAAAGAGATTCAAAATCCATGCCAGCAAGGATTCCAGTTGCACAAAACAGTATTAATATGTCTTCCATACCTATAACATAATATCCCTAAGGGCCGTTTTAAATTCAAATTCATTCATTTAGCCACATGGAACCTAAATCGATTGTCTTCATGTACACAAATATTGTTGGAGACATACATTTTGGATGTCTGAACTATCCTAAGATTAACAATTTTTGCTCACATTAGCAATTTGAAATTTCAAAAACATTAATTTTTTCCTTCTAATGCATGTATAGTCATTGCTATCCTCGGTAAGTCGCATGAAATTACCTAAATACCCTCATTTGTAACAAACTGAAATTACCAAAATACCCTAAATTTGTAAAAAAAAATCTGCCTTATTTGTTTCTCCTTCCTTCTTCTTCATTTCGAAAACCCTAATACATATATGCAAGTTTAATATGTATTGTCGCATATAGATATACCCTACATTGTTGCTCAATATGCCTTTTCTTCGTGAAATTTGAGTAGAGTCTAATACAGGAATATCCTTATAAATATTTCTATTCAGCTGATATATAACTTAGTCAATTGCTCACCCTTCTGTTAACTCTAGAGTAAACGTGAAGCAACCAAGAATCCTTCTACGTGTTTTGAACCAAGTAACTTCTCCCCAGCTGCCAACAAGATTAAAATAACCATAAAGTCCTGGACAGACTAGAAATTCAATGCCATCTCATGTTGCTTTTCTACTAAAACAAATGCAAGTGAAGCACCCAACTGAGTACTTTTTTACCCAAACAAATGAAAGCAAAGCAAACCAATTAATGGCGAAAGTTCTTCAAAACCCAAATCATATGTGAAGATTTTAAACCTCTGTTGCTGTTATGCTGAATCTTTTCTGTTGCTTGAGTCGAGCTGCTGTCCCATTTAATCTCCTTTGGTTTGCTTATGTTCATTTAGAAAGGGGATTGCTTGTTGTATGTTGTTGTTAGCCTTTTTTGGATGTTCCTTGTTGTTTGATGGGATTGTATTAGTACCGTTTGTAGTTGCAGCTGCTAGGTAGGATTGCGGTTAACTGGTGTAGGTGGTAGCTTTGCTGGTTTTGTTGTTAGGTTGGGTGGCCTTGTCCCTTTTCCTTCTTGTAAATTTTCATGTCAATCTAAAAAAATTAAAAACCTTGTCAAACCATTCATGAAATGTTATTGACGTGTATTATTGGCAGAACTTTATTAATTGAAGTGTATTACTGACAGAAATATATTGTTATTTAAGTTGTGGTAGGTGGGATTTTGTAGAAAATGACAACACGGAAAACCAAAGTGAGAAATGTGAAAGTAAGGAGAGTGAGAGGGTGGTAGTCGACCAAGTGAAAGTGTGATTGAAGTGAAGGTCTGAAACAAGTGATAGTGGCCTGTGACTACAGGTGATGGACTGGTAGCAGGTGATGTTGGCAGGGTTGAATGATTTTGATTAGAGAGTTTTAGAGAGAGGTAAAAGAGAGTTTTGGAGAGAGAAACATAATGACATGGATGATGAAATAAGGGATTAAAAAGAGGGCACAATGGTCTTTCTAATCTAGACATTCTATTAATGTTATTTAACAGAAGTTTCATACAAGGAGATGTGTAATTTCAATAAACCTCATGGAGGTCAGTGTAATTTACCCAAACTTCTATTAATATTCAATTGGATCCAGACTGGACAGTACCCAATATTCAGCTGGCTCCCGTAGTAGGACCATTGCTTTGAAGAATAGCATTTAACCTATATTAAAAAGAGCTAGATGCTAATTGCTAAACATCTTTAATGAGCGATTCTTCAAATATAATAAACCATAAATGCTTATCCACAGTTGTGGGCTGACCTATGGTTAATTAAAGAACCTAAGGAAAATAAATAAATTAGAAATATGAGTTCATTTTAAAACGTAGGTTTCCAAGGAACCTCCATTTGTTCATCAACTGGAGCATTTTGCTTGTGCAAAGTATCACGACTTGTTCATTTAAAATAAGTGCATTCAATATGCTCAAATAAATGAATGTACTAACGAAGACATCTGAAGTACTGAAGTGATGAGTGGAAGTAATGAGCTTACAGAGAAAAAATCTTCAAAGGTAAAGTCTGCATAGCCCAGACTCTGAAGTATTTTTCTGCAGTTTTCAACACTGGCAGTAATACGATCAACTTCTTCTCGGTCTTGTGAATCAAGAATATGCTCCTATTATGTAAACCCACAATTATTTTAGTAGCTAAAATTAAAAAAGATCAATAATTTTTCACCTAGCAACATATGCAAGGGTAGAAATCCTTATAATAAACAGTCTTTGTGATATGTCAACATCAAGACATACCAGGTACGAGAACATAAAGCTTCGAAAGAAGCAGTTCCCATCTCCTCGTGTTCGCCTGATGCCAGCATATTGTTCGCTAAGCACCTGCATAGATGTTAAAACAATTTTGTTTAAAGAAGAAATGAGGCTAAGAACCCTTTTTTATAAGTAAAATGGCACAAAAAACCTCTAAAGAAACATGAGAAGAAACCTTTATTTTCTCCAGCAGAATAGGGCTTCCTGACTGATATTCAGCTGTTAATGAGGAAAGAGGCTCCTGCAGTTCAATATTTTCAAGATTATTAGATTTACACAAATTTATTAAATAAATTTTTTTTGCCATCAAATCAAAATTGACAATCCAGGGTTCCAATGGACAACTAAAACCATGTCCATGGAACTAATGCACATATATACATTAAATCTTTAGACAAGCTGGATAAAATTAATTTGTTACGAGGGTGATGATTTTACAAAACTTGCAAATACTAAACCATTCGATTCAAGCATAAAGGATAAATTTAAATTCAATACTTAACAATCAAAATGCTCGTTTATCAATACAGTCCATATGAAATTATAAAGAAGGATGAACTCCGACATTCAAAAATGAAGTCTAAAATCAATAGCCATGTATTAACACTTCAGACCTAATAATAGTCAGTTATTCTTCATCTAGTTAATTTTATTGATCCAATCATAATCCCTTCTGGTGCCAAAATTATAGAAGAAAAATAAGATCAATTAACATCTCACACGTAATTGGGGTTGAAGTGGTTGTTGATCCATTCTTTCCTACTCCATCTACCCAACAAAAACAAAGCTCTTGGGACAATCAGTGACACCAACTTTGTGGTCAGTATCAACTATTGACCAGTAAAGGTTACTTACAATTTGTTGCAAGGATAACCCCAAGGGGTTGGCTCAAGTGGGTAAGTAATAGAGTCACTTGGCCCTGGTGCCTCAGGAAGCATGAGGTCTAAGGTTCGACTCCTCTTGGGTGCAAAAAATTCTTTTTTTGTTTTGTTTTGTTTTGTGTGTGTGTGTGTGTGTGTGTGTGTGTGTGTGCGTGCGGGGAAGGGGGGGGGGGGGGGGGTACGTAAAAAGTCCATAACCTCCAGTTAATCCATCATTTTGGAGCGTAAGGAGGAATAGATTAGGTATAAACCTAGCTCCAGCTTGATTTACAAAAGGTAATTGCCCTCAAACTATAACAAATGTGCTCAACTTGACAGCCCCTCCTTTTGACATTAAACCTTGATTATAGCTTGCTCAGAATTTTAGGTTCTAGAAGCCAGACCTACCTGGAAACTGCTGTGTACTGATTCAAGCAAATAACACTATTACAATTTCCAAACCAACTAATGTTACTTCATTCATACTCCCATATAAAATTTTAAGTGCGATGGTATTTGACGAAAATATGAAGGACATAAAATAAGTGAAATGGTTTCTGAATCTAATATGAAGTATATAAAATGTCTTACATAACGTATGAAAAAAAGTACATACCCAATATAATTACATGTTATTGCAGCCATAAGTTCTAAAAAAATTCCGCATTTTATAGAGCTACAAATTATAACAGAAAGGCTGCGGGTAGTTAAGTTATTGCATTTTTTTTTTTTTTTTTTTTGATTAGTAAAATTGAATAAAAGAAGCGTTCAAAAGGGGAACGCATCCCTCAAAAGATACACAAGGCCTAATAGGGCCTCTAAGCATTTGCAATCCTTTGGTGTGTGTGTGTGTGGGTGGGGGGTGGGGGGAAATCCAACATTTTGATAAAAAATATGAATAACCTAGAAGAAAAACATGCGTTCTTTTAAAGTATCGGTTAATAAAACTACCAAAAGTCAATTGAAAAAAAAAAAAAGGGCTTATGAAAATGCTTGAGCTTTAAAATGTAACAGTTGGTTCTTGCCTTGTCGCCAACAAATGGAAATTTATCAGCTTCCACAGCCCGGATTGCAGTTTGCTGTTGCATAATATCATCATCCCTGAAATTTGTCCAATCATCAACTTCAGATGTTTGAATGGAATTTTCCGTTTCTGCGTTAGCAAGCCCCTCTTGATTCTGCATGTCTTCTAAGGTGACAACAAAAGCAATAAAATAATATAAAATAAAAAGATGAAACAAAAAATTGAAAAAATATATATATAGATCTGCTTGTTCAATCTTCCTTGATTGGGAATATAAATTACTTATGGCAGTTGATTTTATATGTAACAATAAAACGCCATAAAACAGAATATAATGTAGAGGGGGTAGCCTTTTAGCAAAATGAACTAATGAATGTTTTATTAGTTTCATTAATTTGGGGATGGAGTTGAAGCAAAGTATATTTTCAAAATGGTATGGTTTTTTTTTTTAAAAAAAATGTATGATTAATCAATCAAGAAACCACTGTAAGTTGGAAACTTGTTTAATCTATGAAAAGATGGACGATTAATCAAGTAAGAGAAAAAGAAAGAAATCGCAAATGGCAAAAACTAAAGAACTCCTAGACCTAATTCCTTTTCGAACTCTCCAGTTTTGGAGAGACGTGTCTGATTCAAACCCATGAGATGTATATATACATATATGTACACACACACATGCATGTTATGAAGAGATAGAGATTGCCCACAAAGCCACCCATTTAAATAATAACTCTCATCACTGTCTAACAACTCATATTGTGGAGAAAGGAACATACATACTTCTCCATATTTATCCAAACCCTCATTTATCAGGACTTGAGAATCTCACCCTTGCAAATCAATTCAAATAAAACAGAAAATGTAAGAGATTATAAAGAAATTATTTAGATTGGAGAGATACTTAACCCTAATTTGAGTAGGCCAATAAAAAAGAAACCTTGTTACACATATTTCTCCAATAAAGCAGAAAAATGAAACAGAATATAAAGAATCAAAATAAAGATCAGAGAGAGCGAATTAACCCTAATTTGAGTAGGCCAATACAAGAAAAGCGTGAATAAAACAGAGAGAAGAATCTAACCCCGGAACTTAAAAGACTGCAAAATTGGAAAAAAGACTGACCTAGTTTGAGTGGCCTCTGCTTCCGTCTTCTCTGTTCCTTTCTTTGTCTTGACGTCTGAAGTCTCTCGCGCACTGACCTGAAATGGCCGAACGATGTGCACAAAACTTTTAGTTTATTTTTCTATAAACCACCAGGTTTTTAAAATTCTATATAAGACCCAGGTTTTAGAAATAATTTTAAGACTGTGTTTGGTAGGAAGGAAAGAAGGTGATGATCGGATGAAAGGGAATAAGGATTTTGGTTCAATGAAAAGTTGGAGGGAATAGAATAATGGAGGGATGTAAGAGGCAATGAGGCATCTCTTCATGTTCCCCACCATTTTTATCTCTTCAAAGTGGACGAAAGAGAGAGGAGGGATGTAAGATATATATGAAAAGTACAATTTTTTTTTTTTGTAAAATTATATAGTTCGATATGGTGGTAAATAAAATAAAATAAAATACACCTTTTCCTCTTCTTTTTACTAAACAATGAAATGTGTCACCCCCTCTTCTTTTTTTATACTCAATCAAGCAAAGTATAATGGATGTTTTAACATCATTCTCACCTTTTTATTCATTTTTCATCCTTCCAACCAAGATAAAAAAACATGAAAGGGATTTTAAGAAAGACAGATGAGCTAAGTTTTTAGCTTTTATTTTTTATTTCAGTAAGTTGTATTTATACCGCATGATTTGATTGTTCACCTCATATTCATTATTTTTGTAAGAGATAGACTCAATCAGATCTATTCATTAAAAAAAAAAAAATTGATTCAACATATTTCTTATGTACCCATAGATATTATCTTGGATTTGAATTAGATTTCGGATCAATCTATATTGTGTTGTTGCTAGCAAATACTACTATTTTTGGTTTTGGATCTTCCTGCATGACATCCAAACCCATTTTTTTTTTCTGATCTTTCGATAAAAAAAAATTCATTCTTTTTATAAAAAATAGGAGATAGAACTAGAAAAAATAGGAAATAGAACTAATAAAGATTTATTATTCGATTTAGAAGTTGAATACCTCATTCAAGAATTGTTTTTGATCAAATCCGTATGAATCAATAGAAAAGACAAATCTCTAATGATGCACCAGATCCGGCACTCCACAAAATAATTTTTTTGAAGTCTATCTCGAATGCAACAGTGTCATTTGTTCTTTCTTTTTCTCTTTTTGCCAGTTAATTATTCTTTTATCCAACACAAATAATATTATTTGAGATAATATATATATAAAAAAAAAGTAATAATATGATGTTATGAATTTTTAATTTTTTTATAATACATGAACCAATTTGGTCTCACTATTTTTGTGATTTATTAAATAAGATTCAAATCAAAATCCTTTTTAGCGGTTCCAGCGTGCAGCCTATAGCCGTTAGGTTAGGGGTTGATCCAAGTCGGTCTGGGCAGTTCACTCGGACTGGGCGGCCCGTTAAAAAACTAGTCGGTTTCGGAATCACCGGTGTTAAACCGAAACGAAGGTTAATGAATCGACCGGTGAGAAAATGAAATGGAGGCGACACGTGTGATATCATCCGCTCGTCGCACCCACGATTGCGCCATCTAAACCGTCAAGTGTGTCCCTCCTTATCGGCTACATAAATAAAAAAGTATTCCCATATATGGTAGTAGTTTTATCGACTGAGACTGTTTGTAGGAATTGATGAATTGGTACACTACTTAGGTCTTGATCTTCACATTTTCCGATTTCTCTCTTCGTCAGACTCTCGAATCTTGATTGATTACCTGGTAATTACACAGAGAACTCCACATCCATTATTCTGTTATTTCTTCTTTTTCAAAGTTGATCGTGTTTCTGTTTTACGTAGCCGTTTGTTCAATAATGCTTTTTGCCCTTTCCTGTTGTTTATGATCGATGTGTGTGTATATAAACACAAACACATACATATATACAGTTTTGCCTGCCCTCTCTGTATCGTTTAATGTTGTTATTTTTCGAATCTTGTTCGGTACACAAATTTTGCATGGCCATTTCATCAAAGTCTAGGGCGTTGTTCTTAGCCCACAATCTTGATGTTTGCTTTGTTGAATTAATGCATTCTACCTCTTATTTGTAGTTGAATGACAACAGATACAGATAAAATGAAGGAGTTTAATCGGACCAACTGTGTGACTTTGAGATTGTTTTGGACTTGAATTGCTTTATTGTCCACAAATCTTGCCAAAAATGTGTGCATTTCTTCTATTTTAGTGACTTGAAATTTGTTCTGGAGATTGAAAGCAATTTTGTTATTTCTCTTACCAATTTCCAAATGAAATATTTTTGACCCAATTCAACCGCATGTCTGAAATTGAATGCTTCAATGCATTCAAACACTTCAGCGTGTTCGCAGTCAAAGTTTCTTTTATTTCCTTGTCTTGCTTAAAAAAGATTGTTATGACCAATGGGTGGTCAGACAAGTTTTTACTGTTTCGCTTTATTATGATGTCACTAGAGTCCCTTGGTGCATTTTATTTTTGCTTTACAGTAAGCAGTGGTTTAGGTCCTCTTCAGTGAGAGATTTGATGGTTGTTGATCAATTTGCGTATTGCTCCGAGAAGAATAATGTTTTAGTGCCTATTGGTACTTCTATTGAGGGGTGGGCCTTGCCGCAATGTTAAGGTTTGATCTGTAGGTCACAGGTTCGAAACCAGAAACAGCCTCTCCGTGTGGAGGTAAGGTAAGTTTGTGTCATCTAACTTTCCCTAGACCCCGCAATGGTGGGAGCCTCATGCACTGGGCTAGCCCTTTATTGGTATTTCTATTAATTATTGACATTATCTTACGTTTGGCATAACATGCAGGGTTGAAATGATGATAATAACTATGCTCTAGAGGTGTTGTAGCCCATTCTATATGGTAATAGAGGTGTGAAACGTGGTAATTTATCTGATAATGCTGATTAAATTTCTATCAAAATACTATCTTTTGATGACAACCAATGGAATTATTCAATATGTGGATTTGGTGAGAGCATAAATTCTATCACATGCATGTTACCATACAATTCTATACCGTGTTCATATTATTGAGCTCTATGCTATTTACATACCTTAAACTAATTAGGCAATCAAAGTGATTTTTCTTTAAATCAAAAATTGAATAACTGAGTATAAAGATTATGGGTAGATTTCTTGTATATAGTCCATTGTTGGGCACCACGGATACACTACTCCAACAATATGTCATCAGAAGATTTAAACTTTATAAATTTTGGCTACCTTAAACCCAACTCGAATCCAAAAATCTGTACTAGTGGCAAGATCAGAGATTAATAACATTTCTTTGAGAGGTCTGGCCGGGCATTGCTTGCTCGATGTCTACTAAATGAGCCTTGCTGCCCGACATGCCAGACCTTTTAATCTTAAACTTACTGTTGTAGAATGGGTTTGGGTTGATTTGGTTTAATGCGTGGTGACTATTTTAAGTTTTAAATCCCTTATTTCCATATGGTTCTCTGCTTTTGTGTAATGAGAAATTTCTGACTCAGATTTTGTTTGGGTATCTGCATTTATTTGTCTAGAGTGATGCTTTATTTGTTTCCATTATAACAGTTTTTAGCATGGCAAAAGGAAGAGGCAAGAAGTTAAGAGACATGGGGCAGCTTGTGAGCAACCCTAATGAAAGCAAAAAGATCAAGAAGAAATTTTCCAAGAGAAAGAAGAAAACTTCAAAAATATATGATGCTTCAATTACCACAGGCCTCTCTTCTACTTCCATTTCTAGCCCTACTACTGCTAGTGGCACACTTGTTGCCCCTGTTTCTATTCATACAACTACTAATGAGAATGAAGTTGTTACACAAGGAAGAAAGGAAGAGGAGGAAAACAGTGAGAGTTCAATATCTGGTTTTATATTCATGTGCAATAATAAAACAAAACCTGAATGCTACCAATATCGTGTTTTTGGGCTTCCAAAAGGAAAATTGGAAGTTGTGAAGAAAATAAAACCGGGTATGAAGCTCTTCTTATTTGATTTTGACTTGAAGCTCCTCTATGGTGTATACAAGGCAACTTCCACTGGAGAGTTGGGACTGGAAACAGCAGCTTTCGGAGGGAGATTTCCTGCTCAGGTAAAGTTGATTCAAGTGTTCATGTTGTTGGAATTACAAAATCTGATTCATTCCAAGCCTAGTCTCATGTTCAAGTTTGATCTGAGCTTGCTTTCAACAAAATTGTTACCAGATTGGACTGGTTCCAAATAAAAACTGGATTGAATTTGGATATTCTTGAAAAGAACGATAACAAGTTTGGATAGGATCTGGATATGGGTAATCTTTTCATAAATGGGGTTTTACCCGAGAATAGACCCGAATCAAGCCTATTTTACTTTATTAGTGATAACAATTAGTATCCTTTTTGAATTAAGTTGGTTGGGTATGGATCACGTTCATAGGATCTGATTCGGACCACAATTTGGATATGGATTCTGTCATTAAAATGTGCGTCTGGACTCTCATTCACTTGAATTTGCTCCATTTCATCCCCTACATAGGGGTTCGAACATTACTTTTGCCCTGTAAAAACTAAAAACTATCATTTTAAAAAGAGTGATGATTTGATATGATTCAAAGTGAGCAATATGTTTCAAAGTGGAGCAAATTCGTAAGAGAGAAGATATAGGTGATTAATCTCCACTTTTCTATGATTAATCTGTAATCCTTCTCTCTATTTTTCTCCTCTCTTCTTTCTCATTTTTTCTTTTGAGGACCCAAAAGGTGCACATAACTTGTTTAACACTTTTTTTGGTTCTGCATAAAATGTCTTACAACAGAAATTATATTTCATGTAACATCTTTTAAAGAAAAAAATTAATATTTTCCAGTGTTTGGTTGAACCTTTGAAAATAGTTGGAAATTTTAGAAATTGTATGCTAATATAAAATGTCCACATTCACATTTACATACGTACTTATATAAGTTCTTAGATCTGGGGCGTTTGGACAAGAAATAAAGGCTTTGCAGCAAGCTGAGTTATACCGAAACATCATTTTCCGGGCATACAAGAAAAGAGTCCAGCCGAGCATATTTGTTTGTGAGTTTCGTAATCCCGGAAATTTTTTGTACTCACTACTCAGAGTCACGGATAAAGTGGAAGAATATTAATTACTTAGTATTGGTAAACTTGTGCAATAAATTCCATAATTTCGTCAATATTAAGAATATTATGTGAGTATATTAAAAATAATCATAAAATATATACATAGGCACTCCTATATACATTTATTTCAATCGGTATATTGGTATATACTGTTTAGGTATATATATTCGTATGATACTCACATATATGTGAGTATATGCATAAATCATGGATCCATGATTATTTTTTGAGCATACAAGTGTCTGGTATAAGTGTATAACTTGGGAAATTATAAGTCATTTAGTTGAAAGATACTTTCATTTTTCTAAAAATTTATTGAATAATTTACAATCAACAAAAGGCCAAGAACCTGAAAACGATGAATTTATTTATTTATATATATATATTTTTTCTATGTGCTCATGTAACATAATGGACTCACATGCATAAAAAACATTGACCCTGAAATTATATCTATTTGGGAGAAATTTTTTTTTTTTTGGCTTGTAGATACAATATGGTTGCTTATACTTGCTATGATGAGACTGTTTATTTCATTGTTATGAAATTGACATGTTATGTGTATAAATTTTATACACGATGTTTAATATATGCTTTTGACAATATATAGTGAAATATAATATATGGTTATACGAAAATATGCGACGATATGTATGTATGTATATTCAATTTTGAATAAATTGCAATTTTTTTCCCTAAAAACTAAAATTCTTCTAATATATTGACATGATATATGGTAAATGCCCTCTGTATTGATTTAGCATTGGGAGATACTTATTAATAAGTAGATTGACGATTTACATTGTAATGCAATCAGCTTATGAAAGAGAGAACTAAATCACTAAGAAGGGAAAACAGAGAGCAAGGTTAAGCTAATGAATGGCTTAAAACCCAGAACTTAATCCCAAAGAAAGGGAGAGATAAAAAGCTGCTGTAGCAAGCTGATATTATTGATAATACGTAAAAAAAATCACTCATTACAACTTGGAACAACCCATTTATAAGCCACAAGGGATGCCCTAGCAAAGATATAATCCTAGCCTTTCAAATAAATGTAACCTAACGGCTAATATTCTCTCCAGCAGAATAAAGAGCTAAAAATTACAAAACAGACCTTAAACAGTCACATCACTCACTTAAAAGGCGCATGACTTATAAAATAAAATCAAATGACAATAATATCCTAAGCATGAAATAAAACAGATTAAAGACTTATAAATGACTCAAAACTAAAAACAATCACATAATCGGACTCATCATCAACCGACCTATTTATGGAAACTCGGTCATGTCTTCGTAGAGTGTTCAACTATTTGAAAATAGTCTTCTTCCACTTGCTTTGCATCAGTCCCTCTAGAGAAAACTCTACCTCGAGTTTGCATCATCCTCGCTCGAAGAGTCACCTTGATAAGGAATCAAATGACGAACATTGAACACACCGGATGTCTTGATGTGGCTGGGAAGCTTCAACCTGTATGCATTTTCGTTAATCCTTTCAAGTACTTCACACGGTCCAATCTTCCTTGCACTCATCTTGTTGTGCTTGCACTCATCTTGTTGTGCTTGCCAGCCGGATATCGATCTCTGGTTAAAACAGCCCATACATAATCTCCCACATCAAAGATCACACTTCTTCTGCCCTTGTTGACATGTTCTTCATACCTGTGATTGCTCTCCTCAATTTGTTGCCGCACTTTGTTATGAATTTCTTTGATTTGGTCTTCCAATTCTTCAGCTTTTGAACTCACACGACCCATTATTGGAACTGGAACCAGATCTAAAACACTGTTCGGATTTTGTCCATAAACAATTTGAAAAGGACTCATCTTAGTTGTTCGATTTCTGGACCTGTTAAAAGCAAATCCTGCACCAGAAAGAACTTGATCCCACTGCTGCAAATTATTCCCAACGTGACTTCGAATCAGATTTCCCAAACTTCTGTTACAACTTCAATTTGCCCATTGGTTTGAGGATGATAGGCTGAACGAAAGTTCAAATCAGGCCCCAATTTCTTCCAAAGAGTCCTCCAAAAATGGCTGATAAACTTCCTATCTTGATCAAAAGTGATGGACTTTGGCACACCATGCAAACGAACAATTTCTTTAAATTGCAAATTAGCAATTTGAGAAGCATCCATAGTTTTCCCGCATGGTATGAAATGTGCCATTTTAGAAAATCTATCAACAACAACAAAGACAGAATCCATACCCCTTTGTGTTCGAGGAAGTCCCAGCACAAAATCTATACTAACATCTGTCCATGGAGAAGTCGGAACAGGCAGAGGCATATATAAACCAGCATTAGTTGCTGCACCTTTTGACACTTGACAAATTTGGCAGCGATCAACAAGCCTATTGGCATCCCTTTGTAACTTTGGCCAAGAGTATTTTGCTTCAACCAAAGCATAAGTTTTATCTCTGCCGAAGTGTCCCTCATTATGTAGCTGAAGAAGGATTCTCTCTTAAAGAACAATTAGGAATGCGCAATTTTGCTCCTTTAAAGAGAAAACCGGATTGCAAGCAGCAGTCAGTCCTCTTGCTTTCCACTACCTCTTCATGAATCCTTCTAAAGAATGGATCAACAACATACAAATCCTTGAAAGTGTCAACCCACAACCCGAACTTGCATAGTGGATAGTAAATGAGATCTTCGACTTAAAGCATCAGCCACCTTATTCTGGACACCTGACTTATGCTTCAAAGTGAAAGTAAATTGCTGCAAGTATGCGGCCCATTTGCCATGCCGACGATTCACCGTATGCTGCCCATTTATGTACTACAAGGCCTTATTGTCAGAATACAATACAAACTCCTTTTGAATTAAATAATGCTCCCAATGGTGTAGTGTCTGTACAATAGCATAGAATTCCACATCATAAGTAGAATAATTCACCCTTGCACCACTTAACTTCTCGCTAAAGAACGCCACAGGTTTTCCTTCTTGGCTAAGCATTGCTCCTATGCCGACCCTAGAAGCATCACATTGAACTTCAAAGACTTTGTTAAAATCTGGCAGAATAAGAATAGGAGCTTCAGAAAGCTTTTTCTTAAGTAATTGAAAACTTTCTTCCACTTCAGCGGTCCACTTAAATGGTCCTTTCTTCATGCAACTCGTAATTGGTGCTGCAATTGAGCTGAAATTCCTGATGAAACGACAATAGAATGAGGCTAACCCATGAAAACTACGAACTTCATGAACATTTGCTGGACTTGGCCACTCAATGACAGCTTGCACTTTGGACTGGTCCACTTGAAATCCTAAAAACAGCACTCGATCTGTCATAAAGTTGTTCTTCTTTAAGTTAATGAATAATTTTTCCTCCCTTAAAGTAGTCAAAAGAGCTTGTAGATGTTCAAGATGTTTCTTTTCTGAAGTGCTATACACAAGAATATCATCAAAATATACCACAACAAACTTCCCAATATAAGGTTTCAGTTCTTCACTCGAATAAAAGAGCTTGGTGCATTTGACAAACCAAACGGCATAACCAACCATTCATACAGCCCCTCACGAGTTTTGAAAGTTGTCTTCCATTCATCTCCGGGCCGAATTCTAATCTAGTGGTATCCACTTTTGAGATCAATCTTTGAGTACACTTTGGCTCCCGAAAGATGATCTAGCATGTCTTCTAGCCGAGGGATAGGAAATCTGTATTTCACAGTAATTTTGTTGATGGCTCGACCATTAGTACACATTCTCCAACTCCTATCTTTCTTTGGTACCAATAAAGCTGGTACAGCACATGGACTCGTACTTTCATGCACATAACCCATCTCCAATAACTCTAAAACCTGCCTATTAAGCTCATCATGCTCTTTAGGACTCATTTGGTAATGTGGCTTATTAGGTAAAGTAGCTCTGGGCACTAGATCAATGTGGTGTTGGATGCCCCTCATGGGAGGTAATCCATGGGGTAAATTTTGTGGCATAACACCAGCAAACTCCTCTAAAAGTGGATGAACAGTGGTTGGACAATTTGTTCCTGCAAGCTTCTCTTTACCAATTAAAACATATTCCAAGCCACCCTCCTCCAATTCCTCCTCAAAATTGGCCATAGAGAGTAAATTAACACCCTCCCCCAGTTTAGGTTTAGGTGGAACTTCTTCCTCGTTAGATAGAACCAATATTATTTTTTTCTCATTTCTATAAAATGTATAAGTGTTTTTGCAACCATCATGTTGCACTTTATTATCAAATTGCCAAGTTTGGCCAAACAAGCATGGCATGCATCTGTTGCCACAACATCGTACCATACTTTATCAAAGTACCTACTACCAATAGATAAATTAACTAAGCATCGTCGAGTGACGGATATCTCATTGCCTTTCTTGAACCAGGAAAGTTTGTAAGGTTGAGGATCGCTTCCACCGATAGCTTTAACTTCGTCACTGCTTCTTGAGAGATGATGTTTTCACAGCTTCCGCTATCTATAATTAGCTCGCAAACACGACCCCCAATGGTACAAGTAGTTTGGAAAATATTATGTCACAGCCAATCCTCAGGATCTTCGTTTCGTGGTGCTATAAAGGCCTTTCGCATCACAAGAGAAAGCCCCGTGTCTCCTCTCACAATAGCATCCTCCTCCTCATCATCATAAATAGGTTCTTCTTCTTCTGCTTGTGGTTCTTCTCCACATTCTTCCATAAGAAACTGCTTTCCTTCACAACTATTTACTTTTTGACATTCAGCTGACTTGTGTCCAGGTGCTCCAGATTTAAAGCATTTAATTCCTGGTCCATTAGGCTGCAATTTAGCAACAGTTGCTCCACCACCTGGCTGTGATTGAGGGGCTGCATTGCTGCCACTTTGAGATTGTCCCCTAAAAGTTGTAGCTCGATTAGAATTAACCTGATTATTTGGTGCTTTGTGTGTCCCTCTTGCTTGCTGAATTTCTGCGGCTTTGGCACATTGATATACTTGAGAAACATTCCAAATATCTTGCTGATTCAGTATATCTTGAAAATTCGTAAGCCCCTTATATACTGTGCAACCTTTTGCTCCTCACTTTCATTTAACTCATTCCTGAGAACAAGTCCAAAGAATTCCTCTATGTAATCGTCAACAGTCTTGCTTCCTTGACGACAATTATGCAGCCAAACATTGATTGGATATAGTTGTAAGGAAGAAAGTCTCCCTTAGCTTTTTTTGCATCTTTTCCCAATCAACAATCTTGGGCTTTCCTTGCCTTTGTCGTGCCATAATGAACTGATCCCACTAAGCTGATGTTCTTCCTCTTGGTTTCACAGCAACCAATTTCACCTTTTTGTCCTCGGATACATGCTTCAGGTCAAAGATTCTTTCCACAGTGGTTAACCAATCAATGAAACCTTCTCCATTCAGATCTCCTGCAAATTCTGGAATTTCCACCTTAAAACCACCATCCCAACGCCTCGAAAGGTGCTGGTCTTGGTGCTGTGTTTCTGCGAAAAGGATTAACAAATTCCTCTTCCAAATTGTCCTCCTCCTCAGATTCGATGCCATCTTGAGAAGGGGCTGGGATTTGCACAATGCGCAGGGCAAAAGATTCAATCTGCCTTCTTAGATCTTCTATCACAGCAAGCACTTGTTGTTGATCAACTGCTGCGTCCTGATCAGGCCGAGCGGCTGGTCTGCGAGGCGGATTTCTTCTTCTTGGTGGCATGTTGCAAAACGTAAGAGAGAAGTCTGATAACCCTACACAAAACCAATGGACCAGAACTTGCTCTGATACCAATTAATGCATTCAGCTTATGAAAGAGAGAATTAAATCACTAAGAAGAGAAGACAGAGAGTAAGATTAAGCTAACGAATAGCTTAAACACCCACAACTCAATCCCAAAGAAAGGGAGAGATAAAAAGCTGCTGTAGCAAGCTGATATTATTGATAATACGTAAAAAATCGCTCATTACAACTTGGAACAACCTTTTTATAAGCCACAAGGGATGCCCTAGCAAAGATATAATCCTAGCCCTTCAAATAAATGTAATCTAAAGGCTAATATTCTCTCCAGCAGAATAAAGAGCTAAAAATTACAAAACAGACATTAAACAGTTACATGACCCACTTATAAGGCACATGACTTATAAAATAAAATCAAATGACAATAATATCCTAAGCATGAAATAAAACAGATTAAAGACTTATAAATGACTCAAGACTAAAAACAATCACATAATCAGACTCATCATCAGCTAACCTATTTATGGAAACTCAGTCTATTTATGGAAACTCGGTCGCGTCTTCTTAGAGTGTTCAACTATTTGAAAATAGTCTTCTTCCACTTGCTCTGCATCACATTGTATGTTATGAATTAAGCATTTTAATTGACTATATTCAGGGGTAACTTGGGATTTTAGGAACTATTAAACTGTTAACTGCTAGATATAATGTGCAAATAAAGAATATTGAAAGAAATGGCTATTATAATCTATCTCTACTTTATCACAATATGCTTCTTGAATGTGGTTTGGAAGGATACGTGTGTGCACTATTAACTCCATATGAGGATTGATTATTACATATGTTGACAAGTTAATCTGCAAGTTATTACATTGCGGATGGAGCATAGTGCCACCCTTAATGTGTTTTTAATTGATCTCTTCTGTCCTAGAAAGCTAAACAAACGTTGGTAACTCATTTGCATTGCCATGGCTCCTTTATCCTTGACCATTGTCCCTTTCATGGGTTGATACTTCGAATTGAACAAACCATAACTGCTCTGAAGTAGTTATTGTTATGTTATAGCTGTTAGTGCTTAAGCCTTTGTTCCTAATGTATGCAAGATCTATCAAACAAGACCACCAATAAACGGAACAGGGCATCACCCAGATGTCACCTTGGGATTTTGATATATGCTTTGTTCCATGATATAGGTATGCATGTTCGCATATTAAATGACAAGCCAAATGACATGTGGGCATAGCTAGATATCCATAAATTTTTAATTTTCTTTTATTTCTAGGGGAAAATGTGTTTTATGTGACATGAAATGTTGAACATGGATTCTTCAGTTCGTTGAAACCAAATCTAATAAGAAAATGGTTAGAGGATTTTCTGTACAATTGTACAAGAGTTTTGAATTATTGAACATGCTTGGCTTGTCTTGGTTGAATACATATCCATAACCATAACCATGTATCGTCCATTTGACATGATTTTTGTTCATGTGCAGTGATCATATTTTTTTGCTTCTTCTTCTTTCCTTTTATTTTAAAAAGACTGTTTTAATATGTAAAGACTGAATCATTGAATGAAAGACTGTTCTGCCAGAAATGTGGTGCCAAATGCTTCATATGTTTCCAAGATTTAAAAAAAAAAAAAAAAAAATCACTTTGGACTTTACTGTTATGTGTTTTCATAGGTGTTCAACATTATGTGAACCCTGCATTCAATCTCTGTTCTTGTCCTTTGAATAGGTTAAATTTAAGATCTTTAAGGATTGCTTACCTGTTCCTGAGAGTGCATTAAGACTTGGTATTGGAGACATCTACCAGGGACGTTCCAAGTTTAGGCAGGAGCTCAGTCGCAGACAGGTAATATACAATTACATAGCCTTTAACATCCTTATGGTTTATTTTTGAAAAATTGGGTATCTCGACTACAATTTTATTCTTGATGTTTCCACCTTTAATGGACCTTGGTTTATAATGAAGGTGGAAACTTTAATTTCATTCTTTCGTCCAATCACTGTACCATTGCAAGCCTCTGTTGCTCCTCCACTACCAAATTTGGCCCCACAACACTCATTTGTGGCTCCTGTCGTGGAGGAGAGATTCCAGCTGCCAACAAGGCTTCCTGCTTCTGCTTCTCCACTCCCAAATTTGGGCCCACCATGTTCATTTGCGGCTCCTGTCATGGAGGAGAGATTCCAGCCACGCACAGCCACAAGGCTTCCTCCTCCACAGGAGCCATATATCTCAGGAGTGCACCATATTGATGCCTCACCAGCATTTGATCCTCGGTCTGTTCAAGGTGCCCCACCGCCATTGTATGATTATTATGGATCAGCAGCCTATGTGGCACACTTTCAACCTCCTGTAGAAAGTCGTTATGTTGTTCCTCCTCATAATGTTGACCCATACCATTCGGGTGCACGCTCCCAACCCTCTGTAGAAAGTCATCATGTGGTTCAGCAGGTTGTTCCTCCTCGTAACGTTGACCCATACTATTTGGCTGCACGCTCCCAACCCCGTGTAGAAAGTCATCATGTGGTTCAGCAGGTTGTTCCTCCTCGTAACGTTGACCCATACTATTTGGCTGCACACTCCCAACCCCCTGTAGAAAGTCATCATGTGGTTCAGCAGGTTGTTCCTCCTCGTAACGTTGACTCATACCATTTGGCAGGAGTGCATGAGCCATATTTTCCTGAAAATCCTGTTTTATCCACACAGGATCCTCACAAAAGGTACTCTTTTCATTTCTTTTGAAAGAATGGACAAAAAAGGAATTACATGTGCGACAATAGTATAGCTCTGGAGCTTTTTTGATTGCTTTATCTGTACAGCAGGTTCCCCTATTTTAATTAGTTTTTTTCCAATATTTAATTGGCAATATTGTAGAAGTGTATTATCTACACACACACATGTTGAAGCACGATGCTAGGAACTTCTGCACCATGCCTTGCCATGAGTACCTTTTCATGTCTTATATTTTTACTTCAATGATTCAATCTTGTGATATAGACCTGCGACACACTCGATCTCGATTTGAGATTCGTCACTTCTTATGGATATAATTAATTCAGAATGGATTATCTTGGGTTGGCATCTTTTGGGTGTCTTCCACAAAGCTTTGGTAGGATAAGTTCGAAAATGCTTCTCAATAGAGCGTGTATTGCTTTTGAATTAAACCCATCCATGGCATACTTATTCTGGCACTGCCCACTATTACAGGTATGTGGTCGCACCAGATATGGTTCCAAGGGATCAGTTTGTAGGTCATGGAAGTGAATATCATATGTCACTGTTGCTGGGGGAGAAAGAAACTATTTCACACCCAGAATGTGTAGTTGATTACCATAATCAACACCTACCACCTACTGTATCTTCATATGCTACATTACAGGCACGTGCTTTACCACAGTCATATGCTCCATTGATACCATCAAATGCACCAGCGGGATTATCGTCCTCTTATCAAGCTTATTATACAGTGCCAGCCGCGACGGATACAAGTAGGGTTTATGTTGATCCTCATCAAACACCACTGTCTGGTGAGACTAACTTTGTTGGAGCAAATGTGCCAGTCTCTTCTCTTTATTCTTTTGCAGGAGCAGCTCCAACTTACCAGTAAGTGAGGTTAGATGAAGGGACTCTGATTTGGCGGGTATGATTTGCTTTCGCTCTTTGTAGAAAAAACTAACTTTTTACTCCATTCGTTTATATTTTGCTATCTTTTGAACTAAATGGAGATACATTTTCCTACCCTTTGACAGTAGATTGGGAGTTTAATAATTTATTAACATTAGAAGAAAGTTTGGTGGGAATTGTTTTGGAGTCTTCAGAAGCAGTTTAGGAGAGAAATTTAGGTAGTCTTTGGCAATGCTCTTCTTGGAGGCTTCGTTACCGTTGGTAATGGACTGATCTGCTAATCTTATTTTGTTAAAATGTGGAATCGTTTTTGGTACAATAGTCTGCATCACACAATGAGGGTTCCTTTTACCTAGAACCTGTAACCACTCCCCGTCCCCTTGCACTACAATGGTCCCCTTTTATGATATATAAGATATACCTTGTGAAAAGTGGGGTTGACCCCAATGTTAGAGACAATGTTCTGATGTTAAGCTACAAATGATTGAAAAAATGTTTAGGGGGGTGTGCTGAAATTCAAAACTTTTGATGTGAAGAAACTTGCAATTAATTGATTTTTCAATATTTTTTTAATGAGGGTTTTGTAGCTTTTTGGTTTGATGGTGCAATTTAGTATTTCAAGATATCAACAACAAACTCATCCATCAAATAGTTTCCCTTCTAGATTTCAACATTGTTGAAACACTAGTTGTTAGCACTCTTCCATTTTTCTTTTGGTATCCTGGGTCAACAGTTTCCATTAATTTAGGTTATAACATTAACCATCTTTAATTATATATGTGACACAATTAGGTTTTACATTTAACTTCTTTATGGCCTGGCAACGCGATTAGAGAGCAAGGCTTGGCGTTCAAGGATTAGGAGGGTTTTATTTGGGTTGCTTTAAAAGTCAATTCTTGCAACTGGGGATGAATCGTTTTCCCTTGGACACGAAGATAATCTTTAGGATGAGATTTTAGTCAAGACCGAAATTGGTGTGCACTTCAATTGGCTTTTGGGATTGGCAAATCAGAGGCCAATGCTGTTGTTAGGAGATGAGTTTTGGTACCTGAATCTTTGTCTTGGAAGTCATCTTGTGTACAAGATTTGATGGATCCTTCTTGTTTTCTGTTGGGTTCTTACATGCAATGCAATTTTCTTGTACCCAGGATTTCTTGTTTCCTTTATGCGGCAACCAAACCCAGTAGCTCACTATCAATTTGACATTCGGGTTTGATTTTCATTATTGGTGTTATAGGATGAACAAAATCTAACCAGTTAAGCTGGCAGTAGTTTCTTCTTTGTAATATTCATCTTAGGCAGCAGCTTTAAAATCTAGTAACGATCAATTTGTTTTACCTAAGATACATGATCTGATTTGTTAAGAATATGCTATGATATGTATGTTATTGATGGACTGATTGTTATAAGATCCTGAATGATTGGTTTACTGAATTTTCTGTTATCTATCATATTAAAGTGCTCCCGGTATTGCCGAATATTTTTGTTCACCAATGTAGTATGATAAAAAATAAATAATAATTTAATTGTCACAAATTGGATTCCGCACAACCCTAAAATTCTAGCAATTTAGTTTTGGGTTCAGGTAACAATATCCCTTCGATTTTTTGCACTATCAATGAGCAAGTTACATTGTTATGTGCCGGCCATTCTGAAATGCAACTATATATGTGTATATCATACTTTTACCATGATTGAAAATGCAAGGATGAGATCTAAATTATTAAGATTTTTTTATTTTTTATTTTTATATCTTGATGCTGCTGTAAATAAAATTTGGCATGTGTATGAGTTGAGACTGTGGAGCATTAAGCAGTATGTGGTTAGTTGTGTGGTTTATATATGATATGTTTGTTAATTTTTGAATTTCCAGGTCTAAATGAAGTAGCAAAATTCGGTGTGTAAATGCTATCCTTTGAAACAGAGCATTCACCATTAATTAGAAGTTAAATAAGATATTAAAGGGGACAATGATTTCTGTTCAACCTAGGTTCGGTTTGAAACGAATAGGATTTTTTTTCATTTTTTTATATGTTATTTTTCCTACTACATTATATTTTGCCTTAAAAGAAAGAGAACGGTATTGATTCATGCACAATTAGTCAATTTGATGGTATGGTGTGGCCTAACCAGTCAACGACAACCTCCCTCGGGCCCGGCTTCATTATGGGACTACTTTGAATATTTGTATTCTTTACTACGAATTTTATAAAACCAATTGGAGACATGGTTTTTGTTCAAATTTTTGATAGAACCAGAAAATTGAAAATTGTGTCTTTGTTTGGAATTTTAACTTTCAAATAGCATCACCAGCGAAATTAATGAACAATTGAACATGCGATCATACGTAAGCAAGCAAGTGTTACTGTGCTAGCATGCAATGCCTATATATATATATATAATATATATATATGCCTAATGGCTGAACCTAATAATTGAGTCCAATTTTTTTTAAAACTGATGAATAATATAGGTCTGTCACATGGCATGTCCTAGTCTTAGTCCTACTTTATTGTTTCTTTAACTATTTGTATTTTTTGAAAAAAGAAAAAGAAATTATTAGCTAGAATCAAGCTTATTGGAATACAAAGATTACATGATTAATTGGTGAAGGCTATCTCAATTCCTTAATAGGGGATTTAGTTCATCCTAGTGGTGATGGAAGCTTCGAGAATTGAAAAGGAAGTCTCTATCTTCAACTCTATTGCAGCCCCTCTCACTCTCACGAACCCTAGCTGTCCTCACTTCTCTCTTCAAAATTGATACAAAATTTTGAATTCAGTATGACTCATTCTATTGAAACACGATATAGCTAGCATATGTATATAACCCTCTTAGTCAGAATCAGTCAACATCTTCCTCAAAAATGGTGCATTAAACTTGGAGAAGAGGGGAAAAAAAAACTGAAAGGTTGGCGTTCGGATGCAGCTTGTCATACACTGCGTGTGGCTTGAATACGGAGAAAATTAATTTTTTTTATTTTAAATCACAAATAGTATTTTCTTTCTTTTTCTATAAAATTCCACAATTCATTTAACATAAGGGTAAGTAGTCAAATAAAAAAAAAAAAATGAAATTAAAAGTGTTCCACCGGCAGTGGGATGGTAGCTAGGTAAGACTTTATGCATGTGCTTAGGATTGGGACCTCAAAGTGTTGGGCATTCATTCAGTACGTTGAATACAGACAACTAGTTGCAAACGTTGAAAACAGTAGTCACGTGTTAGCATCTGACCAAGTCGGCTGCTTGTTGGGGCCTAACATAATAATGGCTAGATCTCCTTTCATTGCTATTGCTTTTGTCAGACCATTGCCCATCCTATTTGGACTTTTGAATTTTTTTCATCTCCTGCGTGAATTGTTTTCATCCACACATTCTCATTTTATTTATTTATTTATTATTATTATTACTTTCTCTATTTCATTTTTGATGTCATTATTTTTTAAACCAACGTCCAAAATGAAACGAAGATAATATTATTTCTTTTCTATAAATTTATAATTTGTATTTCACGATAAAGTTATGATTTCTCATTTGAAGTTAAATGTGTGAAAAATACTTTACGTGACGAGCGAGGTTATGTGATGAGAGATGACATTTCATTCACATAAATCTTTTTTGGATATGATAAAATATTACTCCCTATTATTCAAAATCTTTTGCGGTGCATTAAAAAAGTTGAGATCAATTGGGGGTGTTGATCTATAAGTCATTTCTCGGTAAGTCGTGGAATACAAGACACCTTAGCAAGGTTAGGAGAGATTTTGCTACGTGCGCACTCGCACACACTATTCAATAGGATTGCGAAAGATTCGGTTTCATGTGGGCGCATGAATTTTTGTTTAGTTTTGAAATGACAAGGGCACATGAAAGAGTGATGTTCATGTAGCTAGCTAGGTGAACCATCATACTAGCTTGTTCACATAAACAAACACACGTACATGTATGTGTATATAAATGGGATATGCCGTGAAAAAGATATGCTTGTCGATCTATATATATATACACACATACATACATATATGCGAATGCGTGAGTATATACCAGTTCATTTTCCAAATATAAGACACACGATTCGATTTGAATCGGATTAACGTTTAAGAGTTTTTAGAATCAAATCGAACCATTTGATCAAAGGAATCAAACCAAACAAAATTGTGAAAAATTGGTTCGGTTCTGTTCTACGGTTCTCTTTTTTTTTTTTCGTTATTGTTACAGAAGTATTCATATTATCTACATGCACAATAATAAATCAAGTTACCAACACATTCAGAAGCATTAATATATTAATTCATTCTTCTCTATCACTTTTGGAACTGAAGTAACTAAATTCAAAATTGGTAATAACTTAATACATCTAAAATTACTAATTCAACAACAAACAATCGGTCACAATTCATGATTCAGCCACTTAAAAAAATAATAATAATAATAAATAAATAAATAATAAAATAAAATAAAATAATCTAATAAATTGATAATACCTAAGATAATTAAGAGTGGACCATATGATTGATAGTTATTAAAAACTTCTAAATGATTTGAATTATAGGATTATGTTATATTATATATACTCTATAATTTAACACACACACATATATATATATATATATATATATATTATATTATATAACAGTTTGGTTCGGTCTAGTTCAATTTTAAAGGATCTCAAACCATGATTAAATCATATCTTTATAGTTTCACAAATTTAAAATCGTGGCTGAACCAAATCATCAACAAATTAAACTAATTTGTCTGGTTTGATTTGATTTGGTTTGGATTTTTGGTACGTTTGACCGAATTTTTGTGCACCTTTCTGTGAAAGTGGAGATTATTTGGATAAGGTTAAAGTAGTAATTTCATGTGAATGTGATTTACACAGACAAAAAGCATGTATGTGTATATATATATATATATATACACTCAGTGAGTGACTCTTCGTCAATTGATGGGCCAAAGGTAACATACGTGACTTGTAAAAGATCTTGAGGTTCACAAATTAAAGGCGGTACATGGACAAAAAAAATGAAGGCATGCTTAGAATTAATTTCATTTCAAATGTAATTATACATATATATATATACACACACACTCAGTGAGTGACTCTTCGTCAATTGATGGGCCAAAGGTAACATTCGTGACTTGTAAAAGATCTTGAGGTTCACAAATTAAAGGCGGTACATGGACAAAAAAAATGAAGGCATGCTTAGAATTAATTTCATTTCAAATGTAATTATATATATATATATATACACACACACTCAGTGAGTGACTCTTCGTCAATTGATGGGCCAAAGGTAACATTCGTGACTTGTAAAAGATCTTGAGGTTCACAAATTAAAGGCGGTACATGGACAAAAAAATGAAGGCATGCTCAGAATTAATTTCATTTCAAATGTAATTATTACATCTCGTGGTTGGTTATAAATTTATTCTAAATTAAATTGCCACGCTTCTCAATCTCTCTTCCATCAATATATTCTATTTTAACTCTACTCACTCTGTATTTTATTTATTTTTCTCTCTACATTTGAAATCTTTCTTTGAAGTCATCCCATATGTAATCAAATCACATCACATCATAGCTATATTTATATATATATATATATATATATGTAATTAGACTTATGTGTTAGGCGGTGGGTTGTTGACTTGGTGCGGATAAGGGTTGTCTTTATTTGATCTTCTTTTTCATCAACTGTGGGATCGAACGACCTAAACTAGGAAGCATGCATTCCTATCTACGCATGACGCGTTAAAAAATAAATATAAAAAAAAAAAAAAATGACGGACATTCTCATGAGATATATATATATATATATATATATATATATTAGTAAAACAATGTCAAAAAAAGTTCCATTGTAAAAAAATGTTAAATCCGCTTTTTAAGCACTCGTTTCTTTGTTCAACTCTTTGACAAGATAAAAAAGACTATTGTTCAACTCTTTGACAAGTCCTGCCATTGAATTTAATCTATATAAACTCCTACACTTTAATTTTAATTAAAAAAAATTATATCAACCCCAATATTACAACTTTATATAACACATTTATTCAAAAGATGCAATATATTACACCAAGAGACAATAATGCAACAATTGTACTCTAAGGACCGTTTGACACCTGCTTGGTTTTAGATATTTTGTTTTTGGCTAAAACAAAAATAGTATTTTTGTTGTAGGAGTATTTTGAAAAAAAATCGGAAGCACATTTAGGAACGATGTTTTACTATAAAAAATGTAAGAAATAAAAACATGCACAGTTATGGTTTTGGATCATGAACAATTATCAAAAAAAAAAAAAAAAAAAAAAAAAAAAAAAAAAAAAAAAATTGATGTTTTAGTTTTGGACCACTGCTCACAAAGTATTTTAATACTATATAAAATAAAACAAGGCCCCACCAAATATGTTTTTGTTGCCAAAATCGACACCGCAGCAACCTAAAAATAAAAATAATAAAAACAAAACGCATAACAAACGGAACCTTAATTATAACACTTTATTTATATTCAAAATACAATATCAAATCTTCATGTATTCAAATATGATACGTAACACATATCAATCAATTTATACTGATTTTATTTGGATTCACTGCGCAAAAGGACGGGCTCTGCAAAATAGAAACAACAAATGTCATTTTCATTCTTCAAATGGTTGGTGTCATATTCAATATGATCAAGCAATTACCTTTCGGAAAATATATATACATGGTCAAACAATTTGACCGAATATGACGTAAGCTTATGTCATTCATGCCTCGTTCCCTTTTCGTTCTTCCACTATTAGTTAGAGGCATTTAATTTAGTAAAAGAATTTGACCTAAAAAACAAATAATCCGTCCTTATCTCATTGTTCATGCAATCAAAGGGTCGTAGGTTGGTGGTTGTTCCACGTTTTGGGTCAATTATATGGATGGCAATTGGCAATTCAACGATTCATAATATATATATATACATTTATATATATAGCGTATACGCTTGAACAAAAGGTATGTGGGTCATAGTCTTTGTGTGTTTATTAACCAAATAATTTTCCTTTTTGTTTTTCAAAAACAAATAATGAAGGGAAGCTTGAATTACTTTTGGTCACCTTAAAAAAATATAAACAATAAAAAATTAATAATTATTTGATGCATGTGAGGCCCCACACTATCATTACCGACACACCAAAGTACACATAAATAAATATAATACAATATAATATTTTTTTAGATATATTTCTGTATCTAGACTTTAATATTAGTGAGAGAAAAAAAAACGAACAAACAAAAAAGATTGCGAAATTATTCATGCAATTTAAATGTCAAATGTGATTTTAACCAAATACCAAATTTTAATTTGTCTTTTTATTTTAGAATATAGACATAAGCTAACATGCCTTTAATGATTTTTTATTTTTTATTTTTTTTTCTCTTTTTCTAGTTTTTCCCTTCTTTTCATTTGGTTTTTTTTTTTTCATACATTAATTTTTTAATCTCAAAATACCAAAAAGAAAAAGGGCAAAAAAAGAAGAAGATAAACACAAACACCAATCACCACCCAACCCTATCCCCTCGTCTCCCCCTTATTGCTCTTCAAGAAAACCTCACAGACACTAGTACTACTACTACCTCTTTCATCAAAACTATACATATATATTCCTACTTGCTCTCTCCATATATACATATATATATATATATATATATATATATCACAGTAAGCTATATCATATATATATAGCTTGGTAGTTTTTGAAGCTGATCAACGATCGAAATTAAGCTTGAAAAGAGAAATAAAGCTGGATCGAAGACATGGAAAACGACCGTTTTCGGAGAAAAACGAGGAAGAAGAAGAATATGAAGAAAAGCCAAGTACTGATTCAGTTTCAGCTGATCACACTACTGCTTCCATTACACAATTATTAGAGCATCATGTTCAACCGTCTCAACCCATGTTGCAAGATCAAGGTACATGCACCTATACATACACACACACAGACAAACACATGCACATATATCTATATCAATTTTTATACATATATCTTTATGTGAGGGATGTTGTACGTCTATGCACCGTTAATCATATATATATATCATTTTTTGTTTAATTTGTTCCATTAATATATCTCATTTGTGAGGAAATGAACATATATATGAACATAGTGGGGGTGTTGATCATATAGGATCGGTATCTATCTTGATAATGTCTTATATGCTTTATTTCTTCCACTGTTTTTGTCCTTATTCGAAACATCCCTTTCCTTTTATAGAAACCCATAAATTTTAACTCTTAGTTATCGTTCTAACCTTGTCTAATTTCCTGAAACAGGTACAAATTTTAGATCCAGAATTTTTTTTAGCAAAAATAAAGTTAGAAAAAATGATATTTTAAAACGGACAGACATAAAAATAAAAATATGACGTGATTTTACAAAATTTCAATCTAAATAAACATTATTGCTACTCTTGTTTGTTTTCACAAAATACTTTTTATTGTTTTCATAAAATACTTCACTTAGATTTGATGAAATAATAAGTTTTTATTTATCAGATCAAATAGCGAGACTAGTAAAGTTAAGTTCTCATTTTTTGCGTTTAAAATGGTGCTGAACAAATATGGATATTTCTCATGTCGACATGTTTTGCATCACCTCATTTCATCAACTATTCTTAATTATTTTTACAACTAGAAGGATTTTTTTTCCATCTAGTTTTTTTTTGAAAAAAAATTTAAAATTTAAAGTTTAGTCATTAAATTTATGAATTAATATATAAGATTCTCTACATAGGGAGACCGTCAATTTGTAGTTATATGATTCAAAGAGATAAGATAAGGTCAATTTACATCATGCATTAATTTTCAAATTGGCAATTAATGTAAATGGTATTATTGTGTCTTTGGGATATGCTCCCTCATATTTCCCGGCCAATGTCAACTAATAAATTTACATTATTATTATTATTATTATTTTATTTTTTTACAAAGTAAGAAGGGTTAGAATTTACATTTACATATATATATATATATATATATATATATAAAAGTTCAATTTATCACTATTTTGATGATTGCCTCTTATAGATTGGGTGGGTTGTTTCCTATTAGACAAAAATAAATAAATGACATTTTTCAGTACATTGGATCCCTTATCTGTCTATTTGGTATGCTTATTGTTGATGCGTAAATCCTCACGACTCGGAACGACGGCGTTTACCTGCAAAACAAAGGGACGTCACTTCGAATAGCACCGGTGGGGTGTCAGCCAAGGACCCTCCGATGATCAAGTTAGTACTTGTAATCGTATCACATAATAACTATGTATCTTTTGTTTAGGAGTTTTTTCTCATACCTTCTTTAACGGCTTGGTGCCCTATTTATGGCTGTCGATTGGAATCCAATTGGTTCTGTCGATGTCGATGGTTGATCTTATCTTCCACTTGTGCGAGATCATAGGAGATTTGTTGCCAGATTTGTCGGAGATATGAATAATCCTTTTGACCTCCTCCAATTATGATAGGATTATTCTTACCCTGTTGAACCACGTCAGATTTCATTATCCTTGATAATGGAATATAATCAATCTTATCGAGGGTAGGGTAGGTTTATATTTTTCCCTATCAGTTGTCCCCCATTCCCAAGCTTGCACATCTAGCATTGGGAACGTAAATTTTTTTTTTTTTCAACCCCTGTGAATAGTACCAGTGGGAATCTATTCCCGCGGGTACTATTCATGTGAATAGTAACTCAGGATTTATTTATATATTTTTTTAACCCCTATGAACAGTACCCGCGGGAATCTATTCCCGCGGGTACTATTCATGTGAATAGTAACTTAGGAAAATTATTATTATATTTTTTTTCCCAACCCCTGTGAACAGTACCCGCGGGGGTACTATTCATGTGAATAGTAACTCAGGATTTTTTTTTTTTTTTCCAACCCCTGTGAACAGTACCGGCGGGTACTATTCATGTGAATAGTAACTTGGGAATTTTTTTTTTTTTTTACCCTAGGTACTGTTCCCTTGGATACTATTTTTGGTACCCTTGGGTACTATTTTTTGTACCCTTGGATATTCTGCCCCTGGATACTATTTTTAATACCCTTGGGTATTCTTCTACTCTGCCCCTAGGTACTATTTTTGGTACCCTTGGGTATTCTGCCCCTGGATACTATTTTTAGTACCCTTGGGTATTCTTCTCTTGGGTACTATTTCTAGAACCCTTGAGTACTCCGCCCCTGGGTACTCTGCCCCTGGGTACTATTTTTAGTACCCTCGGGTATTCTGCCCCTGAGTACTCTTCCCCTTGGTAAGGGAATAAATTGTATGAGCTTTACTCAGGTCATTACTCCTTTAATAAGGAAATTAAATTTTACGAGCTTCACCCAGCTCGTTCCCTTTAATAAGGAATTTTTATTGACTATCCCTTTATAGTACAGGGATGTTAATTACGAGATTTATTCAGCCCGGGTCCTTGTAGTACATGATACTTATTTACTCACCCTTATAGTACGGAGATATTTGATTACGGGATTCATTCAGCCCGGGTCCTTGTAGTACAGGATACTTATTTACTATCCCTTATAGTACAAGGATATTGATTACAAGATTCATTCAGCCCGGGTCCTTGTAGTACAGGACACTTATTTACTATCCCTTATAGTACGGGGATATTTGATTACGGGAATCATTCAACCCATCCCTTTAGTAAGGGAATAAACTTTACGAGCTTTACTCAGCTCGTCCCTTTAGTAAGAGAATTAATTACCACATAAGTATAAGTACGGGGATATTTGATTACGGGAATCGTTTAACCCGTCCCTTTAGTAAGTGAATAAACTTTACGAGTTTTACTCAGCTCGTCCCTTTAGTAAGGGAATTAATTACCACATAAGTATAACACGTGAGGGGGAGGATCATTTTTTGACCTGACCTTTGTAGGTTAAGTCCTGATCTCTGATGACCATACTTTTGTCAGTTAGGCCCTAATCTTGGTCTCTGATGACCAAACTTGGGGTAACCGGGCACTGATCTTGGATGACCTAGCCTTTGTAGACTTTGGGCAATCAATTCTTAGTCTTGGTTGACTAGGCCTTGGTTTTGGATAACCAAGCCTTGATTTATAATAACCAAGGGTTGTACCCTTCCCGTCGTGTAGAGACTAGAAACCCGACTAGCTCGATGTACCAAGGTACGATCAATCTTCTAAACTTTGTCATCATATGTAGATCGGCGATTGATATCGTATGATTCACTATTCTGCCCCCGATGTTGGGATCTTGGGTGATGACCCATTCCATAGACGTTTATGCAACGGACGGGGTGTCTGGTGCTGCAACAATTTACAGTTGTCTAAAAATATTGGATTGGGTTAGAAGTAATTACTAAAAATTAACCTGCAATGGATTATCAATCCAAAATTCTGCATAATCTGAAGTCGATAGGCCATTCCTGCAAAGGAAGATATGTGACGACTGTCGTCTGGTAGGTGGAGGCTTAGTGTCCAGCGACTGGCTTGATGCCTGGTGGATAGAGGCGTGGTACCCAACGGCTGACAGATGACGGTTTGGTGGTTAGTACCTCGTTGGGTCCAATGATCGCCCTTAACTTAGGAACCTGCTTGGGAATACAGACTTCATTGGACATGGGATTTTGAGGGACATTGGACCTCCTTGGACCTAAAGGTCTCGATACATTCTTGGGTGTAGAAGGGCACCCTTATTGTATGAACGAACGGAGTAATGAAACTCCGTTGCTAGAGACATCCTCAGTAGTAGAAGCTTTACTAGTAGGTAGAGACACCCTTGTTGGTGGTGATCTTCTTGATAGGTGGAGACCTACCCATTTATGTAAGTACAAAAAGACCAGACCTTAGTCTTCAACGATCTGGCCTTGGTAATTGGTTGCTGCCCGATATGAGATGGAGTCTGGTCTTTACGACCAAACCTCAGTAGTGAAGGGACCAAGCATCGTTAGATGGAAAACACCATATTGGACTGCCTGGGTCGACGTGCCAAATTTTGAAAGGTGGCATCACGTAACCCATTGTTTTGTCCCCAGTATGATAGACGAGTAATCAAGATGTAGAGTCTCGTCCTTATATAAGAACATGGAAACCCGTTGTCAACTGATGACTTTGGGAAGGTTTCCATGATCAGAAAATTTCATCTTGTTATCCGAGCCAAGTCGCGTCGGGATTATTTTTTCTTCAGAGAACTAATCGTTCCCACAGACGGCGCCAGCTGTTGATGCGTAAATCCTCACGACTCAGAACGACAGCGTTTATCTGCAAAACAAAGGGACGTCACTTCGAATGGCACCGGTGGGGTGCCAGCCAAGGACCCTCCGACGATCAAGTCAGTACTTGTAATCGTATCACATAATAACTATGTATCTTTTGTTTAGGAGTTTTTTCTCATACTTTCTTTAACGGCTTGGTGCCCTATTTATGGCTGTCGATTAGAATCCAATTGGTTCCGCCGATGTCGATGGTTAATCTTATCTTCTGCTTGTGTGAGATCATATGAGATTTGTTGCCAAATTTGTCGGGGATATGAATAATCCTTTTGACCTCCTCCAATTATGATAGGATTATTCTTACCCTGTTGAACCATGTCAGATTTCATTATGCTTGATAATGGAATATAATCAATCTTATCGAGGGTATGGTAGGTTTATATTTTTCCCTATCACTTATCATTTGAATCATGTTTCTTACACAAAATGAAGTTCTCAATGCAAAAAGTGTCAGCGAATTATGCCACAAATTCTTAGTTTAGCTCGGTTTCTAATTTAGAAGTGTATATTATTAGGCAATTTGTTCTTGGTCAACGTATAAGTCTTAGACTTTAAGGAATAGCATGTAATACAAAGTTTAACAAGGAATTGATCGGTTTGAAATTCAATAAGGACTCCCGTCTTAAGTTACACAATACTTTTTAATGAGTGTCGTTCTTACGTTTTAAACGTACTCTCACTTTCATGTTTTGTACGCACTTTCACTCTCACGTTTCGCGCGCACTGTCACTCTTGTTCCTCCCTGACATTACGAAAGCGATAAAATCGGTCACAAATAACATGGGTTACATTGAATTCACAAAGTAGAAACATGTAAATTTATAATAGAGAAAATCTAACACTAGAAGGAAACTAATCCTAGAAATAAGCCTAAAAAGAAATTCTTTCTAAAAATTTTGGAAAAGAGAAACGAAACATAATCAATAAAAACTATTAAATATAAAATCTTAGAACATTCCGACTTCGTTAAGATCTCGAACAACCAACTGGCATGTGACCTAGCGGTATAAGGTCCCTACTTTCCAAAGGGAGGTCAGGGGTTCGAACCTCAGTGGAGGCAATGTGTATAAGTACCAACTAGGAAAAAAAAAAAAAATAAGACCTCGAACAAAAATTCCGAAATAATTAGCAGGGCTCTTATAAGATAATAAAATGTGATTTCGGAGCCCTAAACAAAGGTTTTAAACCAAAAACCAACATGGTCCACAAGCTAAAGCTAGCGGGTTTTCACAATAATACATCGTCCCACCCAAAAATACTCCACTTGGGTAAAAAAATGACTTTTCAAACTGTTCACCATTCTATCTTGCATCAGTCCCTTCCACTTCAAAAAAAAACTCGTTCTTGAGTTTAGCTACGAATAACATAAAGTAATGCTTATCATAAAATCATATTTTTCACTGCCATGAGAACCTCCAAAGCACGGCGCCAAAGTATTTTCATTCGCACCTTCCGGAATAAATAATTCTTCAGTTACATACAATCTACTCAAATAATGATATTTCCCTAATTTTAAGCCCAAATTCATCCAAATCATCTTGTAATTCAAAATTTTATTTGACCCTATCATTAATTAATTCATATTTCTTACTTTTAATGTCAAACTTCTTGTCACCATCATCTTCTTTTATTACCTCTGAATTTGTATTATTGGAAGCTTTTTTAGATGTCTCTATTGTGAGTAAAACATGGACAACTTCATCATCCTCAATGTTAAATGCAAAAGAGAGAACTTTGAATTGTAGATTGATGTATAATAAGATACAAGAGGGTTTATACAGGAGGGATTATGTGTGATGAACAAGTAAACCCTATATGTATATATGGTAACTAAATATATTCTAATCCTATACAAGGTAGAATCCTATATATAGTAATCTTATATAAGGGTAGAATATATTATACAATATAGTAATAAGATCTCTAATATATTCTAACAGCCCTCCTCAAAATCAATGTGGATTGAATGAAACCAGCTTGAGTTTGGAAATAAGATCATGAAAGCGACATGGCGGAAGCGATATGGTGAAGACATCAGCGATCTGATCATGTGAAGTGATGGACCGCAATTGTAAGGTTTCTGAAGAAGATGATGACGAACAAAATGACAGTTTATAGGAGTGCAATCCAGATTGTACATAATGATGTTTTTCATGAGCACACTAAACATATTGAGATTGACTGTCATTTTGTTTAGTGCGCTCATGAAAAACATCATTATGTGCAATCTGAATTGCATTCTTATTTATTGTCATAATAGGAGTGCAATCCAGATTGCACATAATGATGTTTTTCATGAACGCACTAAACATATTAAGATTGCTTTCAAGAAAAAAAAATAAAAAATAAAAATAAATTATGACACTGCTAACGTGGCGCGCTGATGTGGCAGACTGATACGTGGTGCGCGCGTGGATCTGACACAGCTGGGGCACGTGGCTGACCGAAAAAACTGGCTAAACCTGCTGGTCGTGCATGGGAGCACGTGCGTGGTGTTTTTCGACTATTTTTGGTTGCTTCGGGATGATTTGAGTGTGTTCTTTCATTTGGTATGCTCATAATTGCGAAAAAAACTTGCAGAAACTCAAATTCGAACCCCTAAAAGGATGTATTCTTGATGAACTTAGTCATCAGAGAAAAAATAAATAAATAAAATAAAATAAAGTGAACAGAGAACTTGGCTCTAATATCATGTTAAATATAAAAGAGAGAACTTTGTATTATATATTGATGTATAATAAAATGTATACAAGAGGGGTTATGTGTGATGAACAAGTAAACCCTATATGTATATGGTAACTAAATATATTCTAATGCTATACAAGGTAGAATCCTATATAAGGGTAGAATATATTATACAATATGGTAATAATATCTCTAATATATTCTAACACTCAACTACTAGAGGCGAAGTAACGAAATTTTTCTCTTGATCAACTTCAATAATATCACTTGTTACTCCAACAAAATTATTATTATCCTTGATGCCACTATCTTTTTTGCAACTTTCCTTTGTAGGCTTTTTGGCATATGGATACTGTTTGCGACAATTTTGGTATTTTTTATACATCAACTCCTCATAATTTGATGGTAAGAAATTAGCCATCAATAGCTGTTTCATCTTGTAACACAACTGCACAGGCTATTTTCCTTGCCTCCTCCGATTAGTGCGTATTTGTTCCCACCAAGCTGAAGCCCATCCTTTCAATTTAAAGGTAACAAACGGAACTTACTTATTTTGAGGTGTCTCAAAATACTCGAAAAATTCTTCAATTTCTTTAAGTGAGTCTAAGGCACCTTTAATAACAACACTGCCATGAAAAGTAAGTAAATCAACTTTTACCTGAAATTCATGATTGTCCGGATATCTACGATTTTTGTTGCGTCTACCTCGATCACTGAATCCGAACTCCTCATCATCAGAATAATCCGCATAGGATGGAGGCCTACATTGATATACAGGAACATAATCCATATTCGGTTGGCTGCGAAACACGTCATCAGCAAACCACGGACCTGGTTGCCACCAATCCCAAATCTAATTGCTACGTACCGTTCTTGAGTATACATGGCTGCCTAAGGGGCCTTCACTCTGTGATCATCATCGGCAAATTAGATGCTAACAAAACGAGTAATTGTCATCAGCCTAGGGTAAATCAAGGTTTTGATACCAACTGTCGTACCGGAAGTGATAAAATCGTTCACAAGGAACATAGGTTACTTTGAATCGACAAAATAGTGTACTTTGAATCCACAAATTAGAAGAAAAATTATAAAGCAATTGAAATATTATTAATCAAATGTTAAATTATGCTCTTACAATACATATATATTTATAATAGAGAAAACTTCACACTAAAACGAAACTAAAAACATAAGAGAAAGTAATCCTAAAAATAAGTCTAAAAATAAATTCTGAAAAAAATAGAAAACGAAACATAATTAATAAAAACTACTAAATAGAAAATCTTAGAGCATTACGACTTCGTTAAGATCTCGAACAAAAATCCCAAAATAATTAGTAGGCCTCTTATAAGACAATAAAACACGATTTCAGATCCCTAAACGAAAGTTTCAGCCGAAAATCAACATGCCCCACAAGCTTAAGCTAATGGATTTTTCACAATACGTCGTTTCCACCCCAAAAAAACACTCCAATCGGGTCAAAAATGGACTTTTCAAATTGTTCATCATTTTGTCCAGAATTATGTCCTGCATCACCCACTATTTGTGAATTAATTTTGTCGCTTTTGCCTTCCCACTCTCGAATTCGCTCTCCCTCTCACTTTTTGCGACCTACCCACCCAAGGAGCCAGTTCCTCCTAGTTTGATTTAGGGACTCTCATGAATGAGTGAGTTTTTTTTTCCTTCGATTGCATGCCAAAATGTCATAAATATTCCTCTTACAAAACTGTGATGTTCTTGTGGAGCCTTGGATGTTTGACTTATCGAGCAATGATGTAAGCATACAATGTGGACAATTACAGTTTTGCAGGAGGATCGCTCATACGCTCCGCGCGCGTTCTCGCTCCCGTTCCACTATTTTTAAATTAATTTTGTCGTTTTCGCACTCCCGTTCTCACTCCTGCTCCCGTTTTATGTAACTTACTCACCCAAGGAGTTAGTTCCTACTAGTTTGATTTAAGGTCTTTCATGAGCTAGTTACTTCTTTTCCTTTCGATTCGATGCCAAAATGTCATAATATTCCTCCTACAAAATTGTGATGTTCTTGTGGAGACTTGGACATTTGACTGATGGAGTCGCTAGTGATGTAGCATACAATGTGTACAATCACCATTTTGCATGAGGATCATGACATCTTGGTATGCAATCGAAAGAAAAGGAGAAACTGGCTCCTTGGGTGAAAGTCCTTAATTTAGATCGGGAGGAACTAGCTCCTTGGTTGGAAGTCCCTAGATCAGGCTAGGTCGTAGGGGCGGTCCATGGGTGTGAGTCCCTAAAGAGTGATTTTGTTTTGTGTGCAAGATTGAAGCTACAAAAGAATTATCATACTCAATTTGGCTTGAGAAGTGATTACTGACTTAATGGAATTTGAGCGAATGTGAAGATTGTTGGGATTTGTATCTCAAATTCCTAATTTAGTTAGATTTCTAATTTAGAGTTGCATTTTGTTAGAAAATCTCTTCTCCAACAAATCTTGGATTCCAAAAAATTGTAATCCTTATCAAACAAGAAAATGGGTCCAGTGGTTACGAGAGAATAGACTCATGAAGTGGTACATAAAATATGATACATTGTTAGTACTATACTGTTGTAATATTCTACCACATCATAGTGAAATCTTTTCTCATATATAGATGTAGGTCTATTTAACCAAAACGACATTATATTTTGTACTTTTTTGCGATTACTTTGGAGCTTTTCGTTGGATCTCAATGTATTAGCGGGCTTCAGCTGCCCCCAACAAAAAGCATGAACCAACATCCCTTTATATTAACAATTGACTTTCCAATTCATTGGTGCTTGTTTAACATTTCTAGCAAAACTAAATAGCAATTAATTTAGTTCTACACGCATGATTGACTTCTTTCTTATAACATACTTGTTGATAGACACTATATTTGTACATGCATACTGAAACTTAATTGAAGCATGCAGTGGGCTAATTAGATGTCTCTAATTGTGAAGGAAATCCAAGGATCAGAAGACACTACAGAGGAGTAAGGCAAAGACCATGGGGCAAATGGGCAGCCGAAATTCGCGACCCGAAGAAGGCGGCACGAGTTTGGCTGGGCACATTTGAGACAGCAGAGGATGCAGCCCTTGCGTATGATGAAGCTGCTCTCAAGTTCAAAGGAAGCAAAGCTAAGCTCAACTTTCCTGAAAGAGTTCAAGGGAAGACCGAATTTGGTTATGTCATGAGTCGTCCCACGGATGCTCAAGGGGACTCAACCACCTTTGCTACCCAAATTCCTCAGCAAGCTCTTCCTCCTCCTCCTCATCATCATCATCATCATCCTGCAATGTCACAACAGGCGTACCCGGACCCGGACTTTGTTCAATATGCTAGACTTCTTTCTAGTAATGATGGTGATTTCCCTTATTTCACTTCAGCTCTCTATAGTGATCAAATTGGAGTTGTGGGTTCACAATCTTCAGCAACAGCATTGTCCTCTACAACAACAGCATTGTCCTCTAGTACAACAACCTCCTCGTATAATTTGGACCCCCAGCAACAACAACAACAACAACATGAGTTTGGTCTCAGTTCATCATCACAATTTCAAAGCTCCTCTAGTATTACTTCTGATCATATTCCCAAGCGCGGCAATGATTTTGATACTAGTAGTAACCCAAATGAGTAGATGGGTTATAGTTGGAACTGAGTTTGTGCCGAAATATTTGCATAAATTATTTATTATTATTATTAATTGGTACGACCAATTTTCATTGTTATATTTCAATTTTTTGGAGTTTATTTCAATTAGTAAGAGGATATTGAGAGACCATGCACGCAATAAAGTGTCTCTGCAGCACAAGAAGAAGAGCTTATGAGGTTCTATTGATTAATTTTTTCAGTCAATGAAATCTCTTTCAGCTCAGATCCTGTAAAGCATGGGGAGGATTTTTTTTGTGCATTAAGAGGATTCAAATATGTAGTTACATGCAAGTTATTGTTTAAATTTGGATTCATTCTCTTAATTTATATGTTTCCTTTTTCCAAGTATTATTGGTATGATTGCACTAAGCCCCAGTGGATGGTAGGATGAAACTTCAGTACTTGGACATACCAAATGCACCGAGTGTGGATTCGAATCCATCCGTTGGAACTAGTACGGGTTGGGATCTTCCAATTAAAAGAACCTTTTGAATTACAAATTAGACATGGAAATTTTACCTGTGCTTTTTTTTTTTTCCCGTAAATGAAAAATATATATATTGAAAAGAAGAAGCCCATACAGAGGCAGAGGGAAAAGCCCACCAAGCCAAGATCCTACAGGCCAGGGCAACAATACAACCAAAAGGCAACCAGCAAAAAAAGAACAAACCCAAACAGTACACAAGTCATGGAGGCCCAATGTAAAATAACCGTAACTCACGCACAAGCCCAATATGATAATAGATATATTCAATTATCAAAAACAGTTTACTTCAAACCATTAGAATATTTGGATAACTAATTTACAAAGCAAATCCTTAATCAGCTCAAACCAATGAAAAATGCAGTTTCATCTTTCATATGGCAGGATAAAGCAATCATCTTTTCTGAACTGAGTAGATCATTGCACACAATCAAATTTTAGCAAATGTTATACAAAAACTAATTGCCTTTTCAATGTTGTCGAATAATTACACAGAAGAACATGCGTTTAAATATCATTTTGCAACCCACCAAAAAGCCTTCAGAAGCACTAACCTTCAGGACTTAATAAAAAAAAGGCACGAACAAAAAAATCAGACACTAACCAGAGGAAGGTCAACAAAGTCATCGTCGTCAACCACCAGTTTCGCCTTCTTGCTTCTGGTTTTCACACCGGCATCCAGAGTTGATGAGCAGTTGGCATCAGTAGCCTTCTTTCTCTTAGAAGTCCTCCTTGATTTGCCATCAACAGTTTCTTGCACTTTTTTATCAGACAATTGAGGTTTCACAGGGCTAACATCATTGTCACCATTCACTGCATCAGGCTTCTCAAGGGATTCCTTCCCCTTGTATGTTTGCTTGGCTTTAATTTTGGTTGGAGAATTTAGAATGCCTTGTTTGCCTTCATCTTCCTCCGACAATTCAAAATTTTTATCACAGACCTCAGTATCTCCAGCAACCACATCAGATTTCTCGTCTGTGCCGTCAGTTTCTTCACTTGACTCTATATTTTCTCCCATCTCTTTAGTCTGACGCTGGAGTGATTCTATCACACCCATTAACTCTCTATTAACCTGTCCAAGAAAGAAAAAGAGTCTTCAAGAGCAACCACACAATTTTAATTTTCATTGCATCCAAACAGAAGCCTGGCATGAAAGTGGAGTTACCATCACCAGATACCAAAATGAGACCGATATAACAGCAATGACATCATTTTTTAAAAAGTATCAATGATGTTTAATGGGAGCATGCATATAATTCTTTCAAACATAGAACCATATTCAACTGCTATAAACACCAAATGTGTGGTTTCAAATGCTACATAAAACACAAATGAATAATTAATTTCCCTTCATACCATTTGGAAGTCCCCTTCGATATGGCCTCATTAACATTAAAATTCATCAGTTCAAATGGAACAATTTGGAAAAATAAGAGTTTTCACCATTTTTTATTTTTTCTTTTTGTTAATGGTCGACTTCAAGTCTCTTGAAATGTCAAAATTCAAGATAATGAACATCTTTTTCGAGATGACCATTATCCCAACTCGGTCCATTCAAACTGACAAATTTCTACATTGAAATGCTTGTAAAAAGTTAATGGACCTGTTCAAATTCAAGAAAACATTCAAAAAGGCCCTTAGGCAACACATCCCTACCAATCCCTCTGCAGGTTACAGAGAATCCAAATTGTAGCGTGAATGTAACTTCAAGCCTTGACTGACTCACTATATCTTGCTTACACTTCAAGGCAAAGGCTTCAATTTGTTTGAATTCTCATTTCTTGTTTTGCAATTATCTTAGGAAGTAGAACCTTTAATTAATCTTCTTATATGAAAAAATCAAGCTGATGATTTCCCAGGAAGAAATGGGGATGTCATGCTTGATAATCTAAGACATGTTAAATGGACTCGGATATGTGAGTCAGGGACGGGTATGTATCCACATGTCAGACGTGTCAAATCCCAACCAAAAGGACACATGGACGCTACTAAATTTTTATTTTATTCTTTTAGAGAAAAATAATGTTTTCATATAGGCATTTCACTCATTTGAAGTTATAATATAATAAAATCAAACTATTGGACATATTATTTAGGTGCATGTCCAACCAAAAGTGTTGGACACATCCCATACCCATGTCCAAATAATGTCTCGGATACGGGTGCTTCACCTACTTTGGAAGAGTCCATGTAACATAGTATCTAAGATCTAAGGAAGTGCAAACTCTACTATTCTGATACTAAATTTAATTGTCTAATAAAAATTTTCCAAAAATACCTGTGGATTCTGAAGGAAATCAGAAATGTCATTTGAACAAGACGGGCATTTCATAATATTCTTCTGTGCTCGTAATGTCCGTCTCCCTTCACATGTCCTCTGTTTTATGAAAGTTTGACCAGAAAAAGCAGCCTCCAAACAGGCCTTGCAAAAATTATGAGCACAAGGGGTGGTGAGGGGGGAAGTCATCACATTTTGGCAGATAAGACAGCTGAACTCTGCATGATCAAGTACCTAGGTTACATAATCACATGTATTTGGATTTTTTCGCTACATATAAATAGATATCTTACTGAGAAAATAATCCAACAAAAGAACAAAATTTATTATGGTTATCAGAACAGATCAGGCATTAGAAAAGGTGAAGGAATTGCCTCTTATAAACAAGGTCAAATAAGTATAATAACCTTTCAAAAGCCTCTCCGTTATGGACATAGGTTGTGTTTGACGTCTAACTTTTGTTCTCTTTCCATCCTCTAGGTTTCCATTGTCTGCTCGTTTCCTACTTTCTGGTGGAGATTTTTTCCACATCCAGCAACCTTTTTCCTCCTGCATATCAAAAACTGGGCACGTGAGTACATAAGAAATTCGGTAATGAGTAACTTATGGTCTGACAGTACCACAAATGCCCAGGAAGGAAAGATAAAAAGAAGACAAAAATTGGATATTTCAAGTCTGACTAATTTCAATAGTATAGATCTTTCTTCTTTTTTCCCCATGAAGACGATTATAAGAAAATTGTCTCCCAAAAGGTGGGTGAAGCAGCAAAATCTGTACAGCAAATAAACAATTCTCTCCCAGTGTAAAAAGTTAAAAGTAGCTCACATCATAATCCCAGGAGGGAGTTCCCTTTCTTTCAGTAATATCTGTTGCATTCTTCAACTCCTTAATAATGGGCAAAGGTCTCGGAAGGTCCCCATGGTCATCACTTCAGATTTATATGCAAAAGGTTAAACACCAGCACATGACACACATAGGGAGATGAAAATGACGGTGCCAATAACAAACCTTGTCCATGGGGCAGGATCATTGTCACATCGCACAAAAAGATATCGGCACACCTTAAATCCCTAATACAGCAAAACAATTAGAGGTCATACTTTCTTTTTCTTTTTTGATAAGTAAAACAATTAGAGGTCATACTTGGCAAGAACTAGGCCTAAGCATCATCTCTATGCATATAACTACAATTTTTAGCAACTACCCTACTTGAATTCCAACTTTGCGCCAACACTTTTCAATCCTGTAAACCCCGTCGTATCGAACCCCTGTTTCTGGTGCATAAGAGGAACGTTTTTCCTTATGAGACCTGCCGATCAAAAAAGGGCTAGTTAAGAACAGAGAGTAATGTCCACATAGAAGCAAACAAAAAAACTTAAAATCCCTCCAAGGAACAATTAATAAGTTTTCACCCCAATTTATTCATCATTAAATCTTTGGCATATCTATAGCCAACACACAATATGACATTGTTCTAATTGCGAGTTATACTTCCCAGTAACCTATAAATATTTGGGGTGTCATTAGAAGGATGAAAGAAATAAATTGTTCATCACACATATATCAAGCATTACAATACCAACCTTGATCCTGAACATTATATAGAGGTCAAGGAAAGAAAGGAAAAGAGGAAGGAGAAATTCACTGAGCAATATTCTTTTTCATGATTGAGCAACTAAAGGATTCACTGTAGTATGTGCTACTTATTAAAAATACCTTCAATCTGAAGATTGATAAACCAGTTACAGGAAATGTAGCACTCCCACTTCGGGGATCTAACCCTGGTACTTACAACTTTTATCTTTCATAAACGAAAGAAAAAAGTAGGAGGAAAGGTGAAGAGTTTCCTTTTGTAAGGGAAACTATGTTAACATCCAACATCTCACATTGGAACATATAAGCCTCAATTTTGTGCCACACTCACTCAACAATATGAGATGAATTTTATAAAGCTTCACTAAAGATATTTAACATGTTGGCGCTTACCTAACAACGCGGACAGGATAACCTTTTCGACAACTAACTCGTAACGCCTCATTGAGTTTTTCAAACTTCTGATCATGTGATTGTGTCTTGTTTGTCCTTTTATTCCCACTGAGGTCTCTTCCACCACTGTCCATTACCAATCAAGAGGCAGAGTGAGAGAAGGCTAGAATAAGAACAAGGGATTAATCTGAACACATATAAGAGAAGACCAACAAACAATAAGTGTTATTTGTTGTGGGGAAGGTTGATCATAAGAATAAGTATAGTCGTGCTTAGCCATTCAAATTAGACTGACTCAAGGCAGACAATTTATGTGAAACAAAATTCGGGGTGAATCTTGTCACCAAGCATATGAACAAAATTCAGAAGATAAAAGAATTATGTAGAACAAAAATGCAAATAGAAAAATATCAGAGGCAGTGCACTGCACGATTAAATATCATGGAGACCTTAAAACAACAATTATTAATTAAAAAAAGAAGGATTTGAAACTTTTCTGATGATTGTACAAATGGTTGCAAATTTGCAATCCATGCAATCATTCATTTAGCTCCTACCAACAACTAGAAGGTTTACCAAAGATCAAGCTACTTTTCTTTTCATTTTCTTTTCTTCTCTTTTTTTTTTTTTTTTTTTAATCCTAGCAAACAAGGGGAAGGGGGGGACTTGACAGGGGCACACCCGCTCCCTGATCGAATGCTAAACCAACTAGGTCACTGGGTAATGCCCCAAAGATCAAGCTACCTTGAACTGCAACCTGTCAAGTTATTTTTCTTTTTCACTTTAAATTTTTCATTTTGGTAAGTTATTTCAGCCATCAATTCCCTTCATGAGGAACAAACCAAATCTGTTTAACTTTAGTCAAATTACTAACCAGTGCTTTTGTTTTACAGATTATAGAGAACAAGCCAAAGCTGCATTTTATAAATCCTCCTTCCATAACTATTTTAACTTTGGTTAAATAACTGAAAAAAAAAGAAAAAAAAAAACCCTACTATGATTCAAATCATGCAAATAATTATACAGAGTAACATCTTTAACCCAAATCAAATTAGCTTTGTTTCATGACGATGCTGGTGATAAGTAAAGACATTGCATGTTAAGGACATCACTCTAATGTATCAAAAACACACCTTCCTGTGTAGAGAAACCACTCGCCATGGTCTTCATCATCTTGATAGCCTCCAGAGAGCGCAACCGACTGGGCGCCATAATCACACTGCCCAGCAATCCCTGCAACATGAGGTAGGTGAGTCCCCCACTGCCTGCACTCCATCCGATCCTCCCAAGACTCCCCCACCAAAACACCCTGCTTTCTCTCTGGATCATTCTCTGCCAGAATCGGTCCAAAATGATCAGGCGGGACCGTGACAAAGATTTTTCCACTGCAAGCATTAGCCTTTCCAGCCTTCTTTGCCCGGTCAGTGGTATATGCTTTGTCAGGTCGGTTTTGGTTGTGAACAAAATGACAGACCTTTGGTGCGCCCCCAGTAGCAGCTGATTTTGATAACTTAGCCATTCTGATGGCAACGACAAGCGTAGAATTGATTCGAGGTTGGCTTGCCATCTTGGCTGGGATTGCAAAACGGCAATTTGCACAAGTGCGCTTCCCTTGCCCTATCCATTTCTGGAAGCACTTGAGGCAAAAATTATGACCGCATGGTGTCTGAAACAAGAACAACTAGATATTTTCAAGACTTGGCTAATTCAAAATCCCTTGAATTGAAATACCACTCTATTGAATTTACAAACACACCAAATCAAAACCCACAACCTGTAATAATCAACATATTTTTATGTTTCATTGTTATGCACAGATTAAAGTCTTTTTTACATCAACACATCAGAAGTAATAAGGCACAACGTGTATGCCTGGGCATAGCACTATAACAGTGCAACATGATTAACAATAAGAAATGGTTGAGAATACACAAAGATGAAAAATATGAACGCCTTCATGAGAACTTTAGGCATACTAAAAAAAGATACAAGTTTTAACAATAAGCTATGAATTTCTAGTTGAAGAATCATTGATACTGAGGCATTATAGAAGGCTTTTAGTCTTAGTGAAGTACCAAAACTGATAGATTAGGGCTAAACATGAAAAATAATATTAGCATATTATTATTTCAGCTTTCCATAAGCTTGTTGAAAAATTGAGGAAAGAGATGATAAAAATACCGTAACAGGTCTGTCCGGAAGCAGCATACAAAATGAGCAGTTCAAACTCTCATCAAGCAGATTCAGGACATCATTGTTATCGTCTTTCACCATCTTCTCCTTCTCCTCCATAACCGTTGACTTGGCGCCTCTGCTCATCAGGTCTTGGCGCCTCTTCGCCTTATCTTGCTCGGTCAGCGAATCGTCGGACTCGATCGCTCGAATCGCCGCTATCAGGTCGCCTGAAGACGATTCGGAACCCACCGGCTTTCCCGGCTGTGGATCCGAGCCGGCGACGGGAGAGCAGTCGGGACACTCCCATTGGACGGCGAGAGCTAGGGTTTTGGGACGAGAAGGAGCGGAGAGGCAAGTCACGTGCCACGGTGTGACGCAGGTCTTGCACGTGAGGGTTTCGTTGTCCGCCGGCTTCGTCTTGCAGACCATACAAATGCCCTCGCCGTCGCAGGGAAGATCGCTATCGTGCGCCATGGAATAGGATAAGATGGGATAGGTAACACCGTAACACTTTGACTGAATACTAATTCGGTGTGGAAGACGATTGAATATGAGAGATTTGAGTTGTGAGATTTTTTGGATAGAATAAATTGCAGTTGGAATTTGGAAGACAGAGAGACAGAGAGAGAGAGAGAGGCGGGGGTTGTTTGGAAACTAATTTTGGGGGAATTGATGAAATTTGAATTTTCCCTCCTCTTTCTTTCCACTGTCTAAAAATGGAAAATTTCCCGGCATGGTTTTAGGGTACCCAAAAACCTGAGACTGAGTCAAGACTTGGACACTACTCCAACAAAAGAGGCTATATTTCCAACGATTGCTACGCCACCAACCTCCAACATCCCCTGTACACACGTGTACGATGACAAATTGGAGTTCGTCTCAACCTAAAATTGATATTTTTACGATGAATATCCACGTTTTTCTTTAGATCATTTCGAACAAAGATTCTTAATTAGTGATGAATTATTATTAATTTTTTATTTTCAAAGGTGTTTAAAACGATACACTTGGCTGTTTGGCTAATGGGCTCGATTTGTGCCATTGACAAGCACTTTGATGTGTTTGAAAGGATGCTTGGCTTAGTTTTGAAATATGTTATGGTTTAAATTTTTATTAATAAGTATTTTTTATTCACAATCAAAATTTAGCCCTTACAATTTTCAGGTAAGACAATATGGAATATCACAATCTGTCAATCACAACGTTTTAAATGAAGAATTTTGTTTAAAAAATAAAAAATAATTCAGGTTAAGGTTTTTATATAGAAATGTGAAAAGTCACCTAGTTAATATTGAATTTATGTACCTGTTACCTTCTGTTTGTTTTAAGTAACCTCTTCAAGTGTGTGAAACGGATGGAGTCATTCATTTCAAATGGTGGAAAATGATTACAAATAAAGTAAATGGCATTAATAGTGTTAGGTAAAGCATTGGTCCATAAAAAATGATTTTGTGGTTGACTTTAAGCAGTTGATGGAGTGGACCAGTGACAAAAAGAATAAATGAAAATTGAATACATATCATGAATAAAATAATTCAAATTATTCAATAGTTTAATTGATAGAATATTCTAACTCTCCAACTAATATTGAATATATAAATTTCAAAACATTCATTCAAATTTATGTGTTTTATCACTTTAGGAATATTGCTCAGGAATCTTCTATAGTGAATTTTTTTTTTTTTATTTATAAAATAAAATAAAAAAATGAAAGAGATTAAGCAAATTGTGTAAAAATGTTAAGGGGCATGTACAAACAGGCCATTGGCCGAACAAGCCCACACAAATATTGGAATGACACAATGGGAATAAGCCCAACAAAAAGTAGGACCCTGGCCCAAAGAGTCATACCTAATTTTTAGGATCGAGGAGATGGTGGTGTCACAGTGTATAACTAGTAAATCTTTTCTTAATGGAGTTGTGGACATCGTCACAAACGACGACTTTATTTGTTTAAAGTTATGACTATAATTTCTTTTAATTTATCACCAAATTTTATTCTCATCAATTTTGATTTCAAACTTAATTAAAAATTATATCGGGTTTGAGATAAAATTTAATTAAATAAACCTAATTCTAAAGTAGTTTCGAAACCGAAGACACGACTTGTTTGTACCACAATTCTCGGCCAATTACTAAAAAATTGAAATTTTGCCGATTCCATTACTACCGGAAATGTGGCCCTGATTATCGGCAAAAATGTGGCCAGTCACGCTTAGTCAGAATATATCTCACATTGTCAGCACAATTAAAAAAGTCCTGAATCTAACAAGTAATGTAAAAGGGACAAATGGAGTTCTATTATTATTAGGAGGACTGTTAAACATAATTGTACTTGTGACCGTGAATTCACAGTCGCAACTCATATTCGTTAATTTTAAGGGGATTTGACTTCTTTTCTTTTTACAATTATTTCAAGTTAGGTGTTTACCGGCAACGTATTGGATTTCCACTTTTTAGGGACTCTTCATTAACTGCTGTTTTTTCTTATTATCTTTCTCTTATTACCTTACAGACTAAAATACTTTTAGAATCTGTTTTTATTTTATTTTATTTTATTTTATTTTTTCTTTTAAAGGGTTTTTCAACATGTAGTGCGTTGTTAGTATTTTTTACTTTTTTTTTATTCATCTTACTTTTTTTAATATCATGAGTTTTGTGTATATTAGTATTACAATTTTTTTTTTTTTTTTTTTTTTTTTTTTTTAATGGTGGATCAATAATATGGGCGGCTTAGGCCTCTCCAAACAAAGTCTAAAAGCATTCTAGTCGTTAAGGTAATGAGAGAAAGATACTGGGAAAAACAGCGGTTAATAAAGAGTCACTAAAAAAAATAGAAAACCAACAAGTTGGCTGTAAACATGTAACTTGAAACACTGAAACAAAACAAAAAAAAATGATTTCAAATCCATTTAAACAATGGTAAAAAAAAAAAGAGGAAATCAAATTTATTTAAAACTATCCAATAGAAGCTGCGATTCCACAATCGCAAGTGTGAGTGTGTTTAGCAGTCCTTTGATATTAGAATTCTTCGACTTGATCAATAACATATGCCACAAGTTTTAAGGAACAAAGGAAACTACTTCATTCTTTGTTTTTTGGATAGTTATTTTCAAAGATGAGGTGTTTAGGATTTGTTTGGTTAGTATCAAGTAATCAAAAAAGAAATGAAATGAAAATGGAAAGATTTAAATTTTTTGGAAGTTTAATTAGATCGAAAGTGAAAATTTTGCGAAAAATTATTTGGTTTGTAACTATGGAAACAGTTTTTTGTTATCGAAAAACTGAAAAACATAAAATTGTATAAAAAATTATATTTAGTTCAATTTTTTGAAAACTCAGTTGTAAAAATGTTTTTCATATAACAGCCTTTTATAATTTTTTTAAAAAAATTATCTATTTTCAAAGTTTCTGAGAAGTGTTTTCAGAGTTAGAAACCAAGCATTGTAATTCCAATATGCTATTTTATAATTTCAAAATTGTAGTTTTTTAAATTTCAAAATTTATATCTAACTACAACTTTCTCACTAACAAAATTAAAAGTTTGGACGGATTGTGTAGACTATTTAAAAATCAATTATAATTTATTTCAAAATATTGTTTGATGTTATGTATGAAACGAAATGTGTTAGGATAATGAAGACTAATTTTCACCTAACACTCTTGCTATTAACAAATAGTTATGTATACATATAATAACTCTTAATTATTATCAATTATAGGAAAAATGTATATATCTTACTTATTTCAGACCTTTCAAAGAAAAAAATGGAAAAAAATAATTCAATAATAAAAGAAAAAAATAAATAAATAAATAAATTTTGGATTTATACATAAAAATACAAACAATTAAATTAGTAATACATGATTGTATAGACAAGCAATTTACATAAGAAAGAGATTCTCATTTTCGATGAAGTATGCATAATTAATTGAAGAATAATAGAGACAACTAATATGGAATAATGGAAAAGTAATATATAAAGCGCATAACTTTTGCGGGAAAGTGAATTTTATGTGTTTTATGCATTCAGATGCGGGAATCCTATCTCTATCCACACATAGTTGCACTTGCTCCTATTGCCACTATTTGTGACTTAATTTTGCCGCTTTAGCGTTCCCGCTCTCGAATTCGCTCTCGCTCCCGTTCCCACTTTATCCCCGTCCCATATTAGTAGTCCACTATCTCATTTTTAGATGTCTCAAATTAGTTTTTCGCTTTAAAAAGTCAAATCAAATAAACTATCTTTCCATTATTATCTTTTATATTTAAAAAAAAAAATCAAACTTGGTAACTATACATATCTAAACTAAAAGGGATAAATTGATAATTTTCAAATGGGCCAATACATTAATTGCATGTCCCTTTAAAAACTCCAATTTATAAACATGGCATCTAATATGGGACAGATGAAGTAATTTTTTTTTAATTAATGCAATCCAGTTTACTTTTTTCTATTTTAAAGCACTTTAATTCTTCCACCATTTTCATAGTAAGTCCTTGAAAAACGCAAAAAAGAACATGCAGATGGTGGTTATTCCAAACCTTTTTTTGTAATTGTCAGATCACTATTACTGCTATCACAATGTCTGGAATATTGTTTAACACAAATTGAATTGGCAAGAGTACAATGACAATTCACTCCAACTCGGCAAGTTTTCGCCTCATCTCGCGCCCTAATGGGGCGGATTTTGATGGCTTTCTAATTTGTTTGAGATTGATATGATAAAATAATTGAAAATCCGAAGTGGGTTTGGAGCGAGGGCGGATTTAGTGATGAATCCGCAAGTCCCCACTTGATACTTATTATTTTTATCAATTAATATATTAATATTTGTTACTTAATTGTTTAAAAGATTGACCAATTTTATAACGACCCAAACCTGGGGGTCCGGAATGTTAACCGGGTCCTTACACGAATCCGTAGTCACACAAGGGTAAAATAGTTAATTTATATTAAGGGGGATAAAATGTTATTCTAAGTAATTCAAATGAAGTGTATACAATCTATTATAGTCACTCCATGACATTTTAAGAGGTTTTATGAGAGTTAGTCACGGTTTCCCTCAAATACCCCTTCTTAGTTTGAAGGATTTCCCTATACTACTCCACTAAATTAGCTATAACTCTCAGTGTAGATGGGATATGAGAATTATATAGATATCATTGGAAAGCTAACGAAAATACTTAACTTTGGGCTAAAGAATGACCCCATTTGGGTTTAAAATGAACAAGTTATGACTGATACAAGTTCGGGTTGCAAAATTGACTTTTGCATGAACAGGGGTTGGGACCGGTCGCCTAAAACCTAACATTCTGCCCAAGTATTAAAATTAAGCCTAAAACTTGAATTTTTGACCCCTATTTGGCATGGTCCCTACTTCTGGACATAAATAAGACCATTATGACCATTATAACCCCATCCCAACTCAAGGAGGCGTGCAATTACATAATCAAAACCATCACAAGTCAGGCATTAACATACTCACATCATTATCGTCGTTACATTTCAAAAGAATTACATAGGTGACCAAATGGGAACATTGTCCTCCTTACCATCATAAACATATCTGAATTATAGGGCAACCCAATGAGTTACAAATACATGGCTAAGGTCCTTGAGACCAATTTACAATACTTTTTACAAAAAGTAACTGGATTAAAACCCTTATACAAAAGTGATCATGTCACTGGCATTGATTATAAAAATGACCAAGAGATGGTTCAGTTATCCTTAATTACATTTGTGAGGGTCCATCATCAACTATATCCTTATCATGA